TGCTTCAGCAGCACCTTTAAATCCCTCTTTCGCTCGCCCCAGCACTTCAAAGCGATTACTTCGGCTAATTTTATCCATTTCAGCTCCACCTGCTTCTTCATCGTACTCCTCCTCGGCCTGAGCTCGCGGTCTATAGATACTGTTGATGACGTTCTGAGCCGCGAAAAGTGGCTTGTCGTACGGATTATCTTCGTTGAATCCCGAATCGAATCCACTAGTTTGATTAAACAGTCGCGAGTCATACATGCTTTCCGAGCTTTGAGTCGGCTTGGCCAGGCCCAAGGCTATTTTTTCGGAAATATCACGATTTTGCTCTCTAGCCATCATCTGTATTCGCCGCTCAGCACCCATACGAGATTGGCGCAGTTGCCGTTCCGCTTCCTGTCTTCGTTCGCGGCGCATTCGTTCACGTTCCCGGGCCGCTTCTTCATCTTCGCTTGGGCTCGCCGACCGTGATGAATAGGGAGACGGACTGCGACTACCACTAACTGACCGTGCACGGGATTCGCGTCGACCACTTGTTGCCGCAGCCCTTGCCTCCCTTGCTTTCTGAGCCAACTGCCGCAGGTGCTCTTCTTTCTTCGCCTTTTCTTTCTCCGCCAATTTCTGCTGCATTTGAGCTCTCTGTTTCACTTCTTCTCTTGCGTGACGATCAGCTGTAAATAGAGCTTCGGCAAACTGAGCAAATTTGTCATTAATTGCAACATCTTGTAATCCGCGACCATCAGCAGCCAATCGTTTATCCAACGGAACAGTGTATCCTTTCGGGTTCTTCCAATTAGAAACTGGAGGCGGAATTCTCCATGCCTCTTGGTCTTCAGCAGTAAGCTTCCTCGGAGGAGAATGCATGATCGGTGGAGGTGGCGATGGCGGGCCACGGGGAATCTTTTTGTGCTTGAACTTTGGAGGTTCCATCGGATCAATCTGCTTCTCCACGATCTTCATGATTCTATCGTTTTTCCTACTTGTATCTCCCATCTGATTTGCCGGCGTGTATCGAACATAGGTAGGCTCACTCCTCTTTCCACCTTTGACATTTTTCGGTTTCTGCGCAGCGACAGCCCCAGATACAAGCTTCTCTAGGGCGGCCTTTGTTTTCTCCATCTGGTCCTGGACTTGTTCCTTCGAGGGACGGTCTAGTGATATCTCGCCTAAATCAGCTCGCTGACGGAGTGGAATAAGATCCTTAAACGACGCGTGCACGATACGATTCTCGTCATGCCCCTGTCGAGCAATAGCATCGTATTTAACCTTGCCTTCGGCATCGACTTGGATTGTCAGGGCATTAGATTTGGACGAGACGCCTTTTCGACCCATATCGAGAGGATACTGCGCAACTGGAATTTCGGGGAATGCACCGCCGTCTCCAAAGTCCTCCGGTGCTCGTGGTCGCCATCCTGCGCGCTTGCCGTATGATGGAGGGCCAGTTTGCTAAAAAAAAGATACCAACCAGTTGATTAGTTTCAATTCAAATGTACAAAGCATCCATCAAACACATATGGGAACTCACCTTTAGTATTAACTGCGACTCATCAACGGAACCTGCTCCGACGACTCGCGGGCCCCGGGGCTGGGCATGGGGCGGCGGTCTTTCATGTTCACCTGTGTATTTTGGCTTTGGTAGCGATTTGAAAAGACCCTCAGCAATCGACGTCATGGTCAGAAGGATGTCTGGGGAAAGGAGAAAAGGAAGCCTTTGAAAGGAATTCTATCGGACGAAGAGGATGCGTTCGCTGCTGAGCCTGATAGTGAGCCAACTACAGAGTTGGACCGGATGACACGCCGTAGAAGCCCGGCGAGCCACAACTCAGTTTTGCCACACAGCCACAGATCAAGCCACATTGCCAAGCAAGTCAAAGTACAGCAGCCCAGAAGAGCCAACGCGCCAAAGTTCCCACTTTAGGCCTTAAAAAGTCCTCCGTAGCTTCATGCGACTTTCATCGAGCCGGCGGGGTGATTGGCAGCAACCCTCCTTGACCGCATGGAGACAGCGTTAGCGGCTGGGCCACCAGGGGATCGTTATGCAATTGGAGCCTATGAGCGTTCGCCATCTAGCGAAGTCATTTTTGCCTTGCTCGTCAACTTCACAGAGCGTCCTCAGCCATGCTTGCGCCTTTCGGGTCCTCCCCCGAGACACGGGAATGCGGCTGTCAAAGAATAGACAGTCTTGCCATTTCTATCCTGGCAGTCACAGCGGCTGGTATTTTCTCTTTGTTTTTTTTGGTTTTTTTTATGTTTGTTATTCACAAACAGTTGATCTCTCACTCTGAACGAGAATATACGTTCACCACCCTCTTTTGGAGCGGGGAAAGACAGATAGGTGGGCTGGGAATCGCCGTGTTTTGCTTGCCCGTAATTGCCATGGCGCCCCTTCTCTTTAACGATAATGTCGATGTTGCATCCATGGCTGGGACTTGGCTCGGGACGTTGTTCGCTGGAATCGGCTTCATAGCCCTATTTTCTCAGCTACGAGCTGTCGCATTCAGCTTGATGAGATCAAGGAAGTTTCTGATGGAGAGATCTGCCGGAGACTGGGCGGTTCTCGTTCCACTAAAAAATATGCCCCGACAGGGATTGGTCGAACGTGTTGCTCCATCTTTTCAAGGGTGGCTGCAAAGAGCGTATCTCACAGATATGACTATCTCAATGACTTGGGACTATAGGCAAGGCGGCGGAACCAGCGGATGGAGCAACCTCTTTGCACACGCTGGTATCAAACCGCAGGACCTGATTGCTTACGGTGGGCCTGATGCAAAGATTTACCCTGCTGTCAGCGGCGATCTCGGTCCCGGTGATCCTCCTCGACTCGCCGACATGATATTTGAAGAGGGGAAGGTCAGCTACGGGCTTACTCGGAACGAATTTACAGCTTTACTCATTATATGTGGATTTCCCATCGCTGACTTCTCTACCTCGGGGCTAACTTACTCCACTGGACTTCTCGGCACCATGGCTCTCGCGGACGGAGAACCGTTCGTACAACTCGCCCGTTTCGACCCACATGACGGATGCAGGCATATTACCAAAGACCTCGCACGCTATGTAAACGAGCTGCCGATTCAGAGATGCATTGATTACGCGCTGGGTGTGCTGCGAACGCCAAAACGTGGAGACCATCATCACATCATTATTGCTTCGGGAATATTACCGGCGGATGACGACCTGGCCGGTGGCCTCCGCATCTGGACAAGTGTACCTTCTGCTGCTCAGATCAATATGATCAAATATACCATGGAGCAATTCGTCTCCATCTCAGGTGCCGACTTCCTAAAGTACTCGGTTGAAACAGCAGCTGACATCGACTATGAACGGAAGACAATGGAAAAGGTCAATCCAGGGTTTTCCCTAAGTAAAGAGAAAGCCCATCAGATCATGCTCATCGCACATGCACTAGCTGCATTGCAACCATGGGGCTTACTCCCTGTTTTACCACCTTACATTGTCCAAGCCTTCAGACCACTCATTGCTCCGTTTGTTGGTGCGGGCGCAGACAACGTGGCATTTCTCCAGGATCGCATGTGTGAAATGAAACTGCAACCGCTCATGGGCTGGGATACCATCGAGCAACAGGCAACAGCACTTTCTCAGATTGGAGACATCAAGACTGACTTCTTTTCATGTTCGAACAGTCCTTGCCGCCAGTATTTTAAAGCCATGAACATGGTTTTTGATGCGCACATGCTCCAGCTTGCAGATGTGAGAAACCTACTGGCAGCCAAAGCCGCGTTACTCCTTCTGGATGGCGAGCCAGTGTCAGAAAATTTTGTTCAGAATATGACAGCACATTTAAGCCACAGTCAGTCGTCGGGGAAGGTCCCAGATTGGGCTGTTCATGTGTATGCAGCTTATCTATGGGGATGGCTTAATGATTCTATACCAATGGACTTTGATTATTCTTCAAAGTTCAATAGACGAATCTTCTTGGAATAGAGCTGTGTAAATACAAAGTACCACCATTTGTGTGTAGGTTGAGGAATCATTTGACCATTTTAAAAGGATACTATGTCCCATTAACCTTCGACTGTGCAAAAATTAAGATAACAGATAAATCTGCAACCAGTGATTACACCCCAATCCTGCACCTAGTATGCTCTGGGAGCACAGATAGAAAAAATATTAGTAAAAGACTGCCGAAAAGTTGTCAAAATCAGTCTTCTCGCGGTGATATCGCAATCTTTCTTCGCTGCTGAAAGTGCCATCTTCCTTTGAGTTAAAAATATTTTGCCAATCCAAGGATAGCTCCCTGGAGAGCTGATGTCAAAGAATATATGACTTTTGGTGGCTCCTTCGCATTAAACGTGTTCCCCCGGTACAAAGATGGAGGCAATTCAAACGAGATGTATCTCTACCCAGAGAGAGAAGAGTAGAATTTTCTAAGTACAGCCCAGGAGACACTCAGCAAATTTTTCCTGTTCAATCTTTAAAAAAAATATAGTCCTTTTTGGTGGGATTGCACTTTCAAAAAAAAGAAAATCCATGTGGCACAAATGATAAAAGCTATTGTTGTAAATGACTAAATCCAGGAAACCACAAGAGAACGCACTGCCTAATTGACAAGTCCACTGCCACTGTCCTCATCCTGGGCCAGGGTTGACTGCCATATCTAGTTCACTGCTTGTTGCACTACATGTTGCACATACATCAGGGTGAGGTCAGACTTCAAGGCCAGGAGGCAAACAACTTGTCATCAGACTGACAAAGCCCTGAGTTGTAGGCAGAGTGGATCTCATTTATAATTCATCAAGGCACAAGTTTGGCTGTCGTGACACCGTTGAGGTCCACCTTTGCTACATTTCTGTTCGAATTTACACCACCCTTTAACCCATTACATCATTGACACCCATTCCAGTTCCCCATAATTCAGAAGTTTATCATGACATTCACTAGAAAAAAAGGAAAAGAGGCTTTTGGCTCATCAGCTTTTCTGTTGAGAGCGGACTGTGGTATGATTTAAGAAGGAGACAACCTACCCCGAAAGACGTCGCTGAGCACGGAGCCATTTAGGCGGGAGCAGGCTGCCGAACGAAGTACGGGAACCCAGTGGAGGAATAGATCCATTTTCCTGGCTGGAGATTCTCCATGATATCGTTAGTGGTGCGAAGAGTATAAGTGCCGTCAACTTCGCGGCACCACCACTGTTGACCCTCAGCTGGCTTGTATGGGACTAGGCTTTGAGGTCGTGTGGCACCGGTGGCTTTTGCAATAGCAATGTTTTGCGCGTCTATCTCGGCTCGGGTGGCTCCCTGCCAAGGGACAGCTCCGGGATGGGCCTGAGCAGCAGGGGCCATAGGACCCGGTGACTGGTAGGTTTGCTGGGCCGGAGGGACGAACTGGACCTGGGCTTGCTGTTGCCCTCCCTGCAAACCAAAGGTATTAGTCTCAAGGCCAGAGAAAAGACATGTAAAATGGAATAAGTTTCAAAGGAAATGGGATAGGGTGGCAGTACAATAGCGCCTGTGGTATAAATCTGCTGCGTCATGTGGATTGTTGCAGGAGCAGGGGCATCATTTCTTGGAGGTGTTGGTGCCGGTGGATCGGCTGGCCTCTGTCCAGCGGGAATATATTGATAGAGGATGGGTTCACTTGGAATATTCGGGGGGTCTGCAGTTCGGCGATTCGGTTCAACGAACCCATATTGATAAAACTGAGGCATGATAAAAGCAGCAGGACAGTAGTCCGTAGTGGGAACTTGATATCAAGGCTTACATGAAAGAGCAGAAAACCTGAAGAAAGGAGGAAAGGTAGTGAGATGGGTCAAAAGAGAAAAGCAAGACCAAAAAAAAAAAAAAAAAGAAAGAAAGAGTGAGGAAAAGAGGATGAGGGGAGAAGATAAACAGAAACCACAAGTCGCGCTGAAGAAAATTTCTCAAGCAGGCTCAACGCGTATATGGGAATTAGGGGCTTGGGGCACCAGCTGTTAAAAAGAGAGAGAAAAAAAATTATTAGCATCGACCAGGCAGCCTTACCGCTGCAGGGTACATGGTATCTCCCGGCTCGATCATGAACCATTGTTTCTTCGGCTCTTCTTTCTTCTCTGCTTTCTTTGGTGCCTCTTCAATTATCAGGGAACGATATGGGAAACAACATTCGAGGCACATCTTGAAGGATAGCACACTCCTGGGATTCTTCACTTGGATTTGCTGACTGGGGGTGTAAGGGATAGCAAATTCAGGCTGGAGACTCAAGAGGATATTATTTCCGCAAAATCGGAACTGTCATGGGGCTCCACATGGGACAATAGGGCTCGGAATGAAAAGTAAGGAGGTGGATCAGTGTGGACGAGAAGAAGCGTAGAGTGAAGGAAATTAGGCGAGCAAAGGCAGCAGAGAGGTGCTTGGATCAGAAAAGAATGTCACCTCGATGTGAGTTCCCGGTGCATCAGCCCACCAATGGACACACCTTCACTATTCTCTGACTCACACTGAGATGAGAATCCCCAGGCTGATGTTACTGTGGGTGAATCATTTTGGAGCACCTATCCTGTGCATCATGTCACAATAGGCCTGTTACAGAACAGTCATGCTGCAGTGAACTTTCGCCTTGCCCAGTTGCAGGGAGCCGGTACTGCATACAGAATCAATGCGGAAAACTCAATCATGTTGTGAAACCATGCTATCGTGGATGAAGACAGTAACGGGGCCATGCTGCTGTGCTTGGGCTGACGACAAGTGACATCAGTACACGGAGAAAAGAGTACAGCTGATAATCAAACAAAGACAAGTATATTGTCCGCTTGATGCATTGTGCAGACTTCTTGGCTACAGCAAACCCCTGTCTGCTGCTATGGCGGTGAAATGCGGAGGAGCCCTACTATGTAAAACAAAGAACAGCCTTACTCCTCGGTCAGCCGACCGACATTTGAGTCAACACATCATGCTTGGGGGACTTTTTCGTGTTCTTTTGCCCCCCCCCCCCCCCCCCCCCCACAAAAAAAAAGAGGGCGGTATATCCTCATCAAGGAGCCTTTCCGCGGCTCAACCTTAATGCGATTCTGGAATATATGTGCGGCAGAAAAGCAAGCCCTTGAACGAGCCCCTTGTAAACTCTAGAGACAGGTACCCCAAAGCTTGCATTCGGAGTGGGGAGAAAGTTTATTCTTCAGAGAATATGTCACAGGGTATACGAATTCGCGGAAGGGCGAGATCGTCGCCATTATGCGTATAATCAAATGAGGCACCAAAATCGCGCCAGAAGCAGAGGCCTCAAAACTATGCAAGTTATTAACACTCAAAGCAACGAGAGAGGCACCTCCGAACATAGTCGACCCATAGTGTTATATATTCTGATGATGCCTCGTTAAAGCATATGCGACCGCATGGGGATCGTTACGCTTTCTGTATCGTTCACTTCCACAGCGTGCTCTTCTCCAGCGAACAGATATCGTATTTTAAGGACCTTTGGGAGCAATGGGGCAGGGTCGTAAAAGCCTAATATTTTTGACTATCAAAAACGTAAGCACTGAATCAACGCTGGTAAAAGAGTAGCTTCTTACCTTAATGACTTGGCTAGGAATCGCCAATTGGCCCTGGTCAACAAGCGCTGCAACAGGAATCGTAACATCAATCAGTTTATAAAAGTCATCAGCACTACTATTACGTCTGCGCCCGGAATGCGCAGACACATATCCGTACTGTGCCTCCAGGATAACGAGCCCATTCCTGTCGGCCTCCCGCGCTTGTCTCCGCTGAACCTGCTCACGCATTAGATTGATAGCTTGAATACTTTCTGCTTTTCTTTTTGAGACCAAGGCCTTTAATCGTTTACGCTCCCTTGCGAGGGCTAACTTCTGCCTTCTTCGATTCCTCGGACGCAAAAAGCCAAATTCAACGATTGAATAAGCTATCCACGGTATCATGACGGCGAGGACACTGACATCGCCATCCAGATGCTCCAGTGGACATAATGCAATGGGAATTTTGATCGACTGGCCTAGTCTGTACCACGTCAAAGAGCAGACTAGGCCCTTCCCACCTTGTACGCCAACCCCTAGCCCCATACGGGTGAAATTGGACACCTGACGCGACCCAGAGACCATCCAACCAAATGATAGGTCTACATCAACAGTTGTGGTAACTTCCAAACGCACCGCTCGACTTGTTGTGGTTCGCTTTTGTGGGTGATACCCTTCATAATTCCATTCGGACCGGTAAGGCTCTTCGAGTTTTCCACCAAAGAAACTTCTCGCATAATTCATGGACAGCTGCATGGAGAATGGGGAGGAATGGAGCTGGAAACCCCATGTTTCAAGAGGCTCATGGGAGGATCTATCAGCCCCATTCTCACCTAAGTCACCGCCAGCACCTTCGTCATCATCGTCGGCTCCATCAAATTTGTCTTGCACGCGTTTTACCGGCAGAGCAACATATCCTATTTCGAACTTGCTAGCATTTCCCGGTGCAAATGGCTGTTCATTATCGCCTGAGGGTAAGGATGAGAAAATTCCTTGAATGAAGGAAGGCCAAGATAGTTTTCCGGTCGATAGGTTGCAATATGTAAGACCACGGGCCCCTAGTCCCCGCGAAATGGTGGTATTTATTATCGGAGCACTTTTCATGCTCATATCTGAGAAAAGGCCTTGAACCGTAAAATCTAAAGGTCTTGTGCCCTTGATAGGCTGTATACGCCTCGATAAACTCGTTTGGAATGCTGGTGACGGGAACAGTGAAGTACCGATTTCAACTACGGAATCTCCCAGGAGAGGAAACATTAATGCCGACAGTGCAGGACTTTTCTGAACTGGTATGTGGATTTGTTGGCGCAAAGTGGCGCCGAGAGAGATTTTTTCACCCATAAGAACGTGTGGTATCGTCACCTACTCCTTGTAAGCCAAACTCATCTGAGAAGTAAAGGAGGAGGATACACACTTCCTTTGTTTCTTTTTCTTGGGTCTCTGGGTCCATGAGCGTAATGAAGTGCTTTACAGGTGCAAGCTTTCCACCTACACCCACATGAATCTCCAGTTCGGCATCATGCTCATTTGGAAGGGGGACGTCCTCGTTTTCTTCCTCTGCTTGATCATCATCGCTACGGCTACTGAGCTGGCGGAGCCATTGCATGGGGGCAAATGGCGTTTTGAAGTTGAACCCCAGAGCCATGGACGACATCCGAGCTAACGGTGCATCTGGTGCAATTGATGGATCGAGCATTCTCATGGCTAAGCCGTGTGCATTAATTTTGATAGAAACGGTTCCCTGTTACCAAAAGCGTCAGTTCTGCCCAGAACGGCGATGGGGACGGGGCAAGTCCAAGATTCTATGGATGGGTGTAGAGAAAACACTCATATAACTATTTGGTTAAAGGACGACCATCCGTGATTCGTGCTTTTGAGTCTAAAAAGTCCTCTGACAAGGAAAAACCACGCACACACCTTAGATTGTACCAGTTGGTCAACGTACTTCAGCTCTCGGAGTTTCATCGACCTTAAAAACCATCGCCGAAATTGCTCTACGTCCATAGTTTTGATGCCAATTTGCTTCCTTTCAGCCTCTCCTCCCCTTCCCAACATGCCACCAACACCCCATTCATGCTTCACGCCCTCCTCTCCCACCATGTCATAAACGACACGCTTGTGTGGGTCAATCAGTGTGTCATGCGCTTGTCGGATTCTATCGAAGTGCTTCGTCGCTATTTCACGCAGATGGGGAGGCTGTTTGTCCGGGTGCAAGCTGAGAGTTAGCGTTCGATAGGCTGACCGGATCTGTGCCTCCGTTGGAGGAGGGTCACGAGGCAGAGCGAGCAGACTGTAGTAATCCAGATCTTCTGGGTAGGCCATTATTTTCTCATATTCCTCCTCTTCCGAGAATCCAGAGCCCAAGCCCTCTTCGTGGCCCCCAGCATCTCCATCAAATTCTCCGTGGGCGCTTCTGGTCGACATCTTTAACGTTTGCGAAAAGCGGGTTTCCGCCACAGAATTTGCTAATTGAAGCCGCTATTAAGAGAAGATATAAGGTCGAGGCGTCGCCGCATATTCTGCTATCTTCTCAGGCCCTTGAAGGGTATAACTGGAGCTGTGCAGCTTCCCCCGCGCTGGCTGATATTGAGGACAGATCCCTCGAGTGATGCTGTTAGTTAAACTCTGAGAGAATCTTGGCAAACTTAAAATGCTCTGAAGAAAACGTCAATTTTCGCTGCGCTCGGCCCTGCAGCTTTCAGAAACACAGAAGCGTGTCCTCTAATTGGAGCTTTTAGCCAATTGAGTCGTCATGAAAAAGTACAAGCCAGGTGAATGAACATTTATCCCATGCGATTCTTCTCAGTCGCATTTGTCGCCAACTTGAGATATCACGTGATCGCGAGAGTCTGCGGATTAATTGCTTGGCGTAAACAAAGCGGACGCCACGGCTTTCATCCATTCTCTTCGCCTCGAAGAAGTGCTCTGGTCAGGCAACCCACAAAAGGCTTCCAAGAGGTTGCTGCCTGTTCAGTGATTGATTTTGTTGAAACCCTGGCCAGAGCCCTTCTTTGGCAACTGTGTCAAGTTGGTAAGTTAAGACTGTTTGACACCCGAACTTACTGATCATAGCTGCGCGCGATGAAGGATGATGACGCTGCTCTTGGAGAGGTGCCTCCGATTTATCGCATAGATCTCTCTCTGCCTCCGTCCGAGCGATATGTGGAATTAGCAACTATTTATCGCGATCAGCTACATTCGCTCACGGGGCTCTTCCACGAACTGATCGCATCCCTTCATCCGAATATCTCGGTAGTGTGGGTGGAACGCGCAGCCCGCTTGTTTCTGAGGAGACTATGCACCCACGAAGAGACAGAGGAAATTAGGGGGATATCCAAAGCTACGGGTATTGATATGTATCTTCTTGTGGCATTCAATGTGCTTCTGGATCTATTGATGGGATGCACCAGTGGCGCAGCTTTGACGAAGGAGCCCAGGGATGAAGAGGCAAAAATGCTACACTTCCGAACTCTGGACTGGAGCATGGATGGCTTACGGAAGTTGATCGTGCAGCTGGAATTTGTGCGTAGCCCAGATGTGGAGACAGTCCTTGCCACGAGCGTTACCTACGTTGGCTTCGTGGGCGTTCTCACCGGAGTACGCAAGGGCCTCAGTCTTTCCCTCAACTTCCGGCCTAACCATAATGCGAACACTGCATGGGGCAATCTTAGATTTTACGGCAGTCATCTCCTGGTTCTTTTCGGTATCCGTCGGTCCATCTCTTCTCTACTCCGGCAATGTCTGCTACCATCCACGACTTTTGCATCCTCTTGGATAGGCTGGTTTTTGAGGAAAAAGCCACCGAACCCACAGGACGTTTCTTTGGATCTCATTTCCTCAGTTTTGCCAAAGATACCAACCACCGCTGCATACTTAGTTTTTTGTGATGGCAAATCGGCTATAGCAATGGAAAAAGATCACCGTTCTGCTGTAGTCCATTCATCCTCGTCCTTTATTGTTGCAACAAACAGCGATGTGGAAACTACCGATCCCTCATACAAGGCATCTCTGGGGAGCCACGCTGGTTTACAGGCCACATCCAACGAATCAGTAACGATAATCGATATAATAGAAGATAGCAATGAACGAAGAGCGTGCATGCAAGCTAATTGGGACAAAAAGGTTCGGGCACAGCAAACTCAGGCGATGAAACGGGCCGCTACACGACAAATGTCAACAGGAGTAGCACATCGTCAAGACCCCCTCAAACAAACAAGATCCTCAACCCGCAAATCCACCCCGCCTCCAGGGTCTAATGGTCTCTCTTCAGATTCAGTTACCCCCGATATTCAAGTGACAGCAACACCAGCTGAGCTCGTTGAGTGGACAACGACAGACCCTATCACCAGCCCCATGACCCATTTTACAACTATCTTGGATCCTGTAGAAGGAAAAGTGTTTTGGTTGAAGCGATATTTACTGCCTTTTGATTCGGGTTTGTAAACGCTTAAAATACCAGCCTATAGAGATGATAGATATATAAGATTTGTCCAACTGTTACACTCCCTATCCCATCAAGACAAAATTAAGGCAGAAGTGGCCGGAGCATGCTCGTTTTACTTAGCCATGGTGTATTATCGAGCATAGCTAAGGTATCGACTGGCTTCTGAAACGCCAAACATACCGTACAAAGGGCGGACCAAGATAAAGGGTGAACATAAATATGCTTGGATGGCCATTCCGCCATCAGTTTTATTAAATTGAATTCTTTTACCTCCGGTTAACTAATCTTCGCGGGTATTTTAGTTCCGTTGACGGGGACAACCGACTCGACAACTAATAGGCATATTAAACTAATCAGGACTTAACAGCCAGAACGCGTACGGTTTCAATTTTCAAGTCTCCCGATACCAAAGTGTCGTAAGCTTTTAAGATTAAGGAACATCAATATCCAAGCAAGGCTCCTCCGATCTGGCATAAATATCTATATAACAGCACCTCAGGTGCCTGGAATGAGAAGAAGAGGAATAACAATAATGAAGTAGTGAAACGCCAGAAGCTAATCGCTGTAGATTCTTCGTGGCCCGCTACATCACAATCATTGTCAACAACTACATGGCCTCCAGGATTACTTCAGGGATGTCCTGAAAATAGTATGGCGCGTTAATGATGTGCGACTGGTTCACGCCCAGAGGAAAACGGGACGCGAGAAATGTTATGCTACAAGCTGAGGGAGTGACCCAAAAACCAATATGCTCTCATAATTATGGTAGAACGTTTCATTTTTCAGACCGGGTTGCTACCTAGGGTGTGTATTTAACAGATCAAGAGCAAAAGTTTTGAAACATAATGTCCGTACGTAAACCCCGAATTCCACATTTGAAAATCCCATCATGTAGTGGCTTATGCCTCATTAAGAATCTTGTGGAAAGCCTCGCCAGCACGCTCTGGCTTGCCAGATTCAACGCTAGCCTGGCCCAACTTTTGCTTGGAGAAGGCAGCAGCATATGGGTTGAGTCGGAGCATGACCTGCTTGTTCTTGAGAGGGTTCTTCTTCTGGACGCCGGTTCTCTTGGTTCTGGCTTCACCCTTTGGTTCTCTAAGTGCGGACTGGACTTCGGAGGAGTTGATGAGGCGGGTAATGTCGGCGTTGGAGATGATGTTGGATGGGAGAAGGTAGTCTTTCTTGAGGGCGGATGGGGTGGTGGTGGTGCCGTAAATCTGGTCCAGAGCAGCGAAGGCAGAGGAGGTCCAGACAATGAAGCGACCGAGGTGACCACCGGGGGCGAGTTGGAGAAGGTTCAAGTTGAAAACGGAGGAAGTCTCGACACCAGGAACGTTGCGGAATGCCTTGACGAGCTCCTTTCCATCGACCTCGGGGTTGTAGACAACTAGAGGTCCACGGCGCTGGCGGTATCTGCGGCCTCTCAACTTACCCTTACCAGCACGCATCTTGCGGGATTTCTGGACCTTGACAAGATCAGGGCCGGCACCGAGGGACTGGAGCAGAGCAATGGCGGCCTTGGTCTTGGTAATGGCACCATTCTCGAAGGTCTTGGAGTCAACGACGAGTGGGACCTCGGGGATGTTGGAGACACGGTGACCGCGAGCAAAGAGCAGGGATGGCACGGAAGAAGCGGCTAAAGCAGAGGCAGTAGCGAAGCGCCTGACGCAAAGAAGTCAATACCGATCACCAAAACTCCATCAATATTTCTGGCTAAGAGAGAAAGCTCACTTCTGTCCCAGGTTGATCTTCTGATGCCATTTACGCCACACCTTGGTGGGAGCGAACATGCGACCGGAACGACATTGGTTACCGAAAGCAGCCTGACCAGCACGGTGCGTACCACCACCAGAGACACGAGGAATACGGGCAACAGCACGGCCTAATGAACAAGTCAATTATCATCCATTCTTCCTCAAATCTTCATTGTAAAACTCTTAATTTGGTGTTTCCACGTACCAGTACCCCAGGATTCGGCAGAGGTCTGTTCGCCAGCCTTTTCACTCACAGCATATGGCTGTCTCCTATTCTTTGCGATACCAGTGTGCACCGATCTATCCAAATTCGTCAGCGAAACGCGTTCTCAAGCTTCCTCCCGGTGACTTTGGCTTTCATACTGGACAATATCGGGGCGAATTGGCGCGGTGAAAACGGTTGGGAGAGGGTGGGTGGCGCCACTAGGCTTGCCATCGGCCGTAGCGATGGTGACGGTCGGTCGAGAAGCCATTGTTGTCGACAGGTCGCTCGTCGTGGTCGACTTCGAGGTTGAGCAGCGAAAGTTCGAGGTCAGCTCTTCCACCCAAATGTGGGTTTTCTCGCTTCCTCTGGTGGCTGCAGCTGGCGGTCACGGGGAGCCCTAAACCCTAATTGACTAGCTGGGTTGGACGAAAGTTTGAGGCTTAGCCTTATTTGGACCTCACCTGACCACCCAAGCCCTATTTTGTATCGCCAAGCCATCCTGGTGGCAACCTTTCGAGAGCGAGGAGAAAGGAATGACAAGTATACCTGATGTTCCCACAATTACCTCTGTAAGAAACATAGGTGTTTTTTTTTTTTCCTTCTTCCAAGATGATTTGTTGAGCACAATTCACAGCAGATGTCAATGAGCAAGCGATCCCAAGCCACGTCTGCACACTTGCAAGTCGCTCTGAGGACAGGTGTTATCTGAGATACAAATGATACTAATAGGAGCATTTAGAATAATGTGTTCTGAAAACAAAGCTAAGAAGGGACCATTCCCAGGTCAGCTTTTGGGTTCTACAAACCGCCTTTACTCTTGAAAGCAGAAAAAGAGGCTTTCCCTTGATGCATTATGTTGTCAGAGTTTGTAGGAATGTAATGATACTGACAATGAACTCAGAGGCCATATCCCTCAAGTAGTGATACAGTTATAAACATCTGCATTGTGAAACATGCAGTTTGGACTTTGCGGCCGTTACATGTAGGCTTGACATAAATGTGGAATCAGACTTCCTGCCACAACGCTCAATGATCTGTTTGGCTTTAGACGAAGTTGTACTTTTAGAGGTATTTTTGCTGTTACCAAGTTTACTGTCAATTAAAGGCACAAAGTATATAGATCCATTTTATACGTCTAACCCATGCTGCTAAACCACAATGCAAGAAGATAGATATATCATCCACCCTAGCCAAATATCAAATGAAGAATATAAATGATTGAAAGTATTTTCCACAGGAAGGGAAAAAAAAAAAAGTGCTGTCAGATCATAACCAGCAGATAGAAGCGAATGTGAAAAATATCTTCAGGAAAAAAAAAATTCTCAAAAGGTGAGAAAGACGCAGAGAAAAAAAGAGTTTAAAAGAAAAGATGCAATTCCTTCCTTCCCCCCTTTCCAGAAGTCCTACCATACCACGCCAGATATCCATGTTCAAAAGGCAGTGAACAGAATCAAAGAGATAATGCCTGAGACATCCTGTTTAGTGATGGGCAGAATGTCGGCGTTTCAAGTGAGCGTTCCTCTTAAGCCATAGCGATCTTCAATTCTTTGGCAACACCGGCGGTGCATTTAGTGCCTTGTGCCATGGAGACAGCAGATGACCACTGTCCACTAGCGCAGCGCTGGAAGGAACTTCCGTTAATGCAGTGCCATGAACCTTCCTCGGAGCAAGCGCCGGAGAGTTCAGAGCCATCACTGCCATCGCCACCGGTAGAAGGGGCTTGGGGTGGGTTGGATGGAGAAGTGGAGCTCTGGGCAGGAGGGCTTGGAGCAACTGGAGTGGTGCTCTGTGCAGGTGGGTTTGGAGCAGCGGGAGCGGAGGTGGGAGCAGAGCTTGGAACAGACACAGGCGCGTCGGATGGAGCATCAGCAGCAGGAGCAGAAGTGGGGCTCGATGGCAAGAAGACACCAGGAGAGTTGGATGGTTTGTCCGCCTTTGGAGCAGAGGGCTTATCGCCACCATTGCTACCGCCAGAAGAGCTTCCACCAGCAATTGGACCATTGCTTCCATCCTTCTTTATGCAGACAGGCTCGCCGAGCGCCATGAGGTTCTTGGGGTTACCAGCATATTCAACGGATGGGCCAGGGTCGGGGAATCTGATATCGACGCCTTCAGCAGTGATGCAATCGTTGATGTTGGCAACAAACATGTCTGGAAGGTCATCACGCTTGGCGAGAGGGATGAGGCTTCTCGGTTCCTGGGCTGGAGTAGGAGCATATCGTTTCTTGGAGGCGGTAACTGTGATAGGGGCGCAGTTCATGTAGAATTCGCGGTTGCCGATACGGTTAATCCAGGTCCATGCAAGGGTGTATTCACCTGGGGCAATGCTAGATGGAACCTTGAACTTGAATTTCGAGGCCCCATCGCCATTTGGGTCTGCAGGAAGGTTCCCATCGACATTGGCAGGACAACCACCTTCGATGGAGTGAATGACCTTCCAGACGGAGTCCTTGGTAGGCTTCATGTCGGTGGTGAGAGAAACCTGGCATGAACCACCACCGTGGACAGCACTTCCCCTGAAGCTAAGTGTCTGTTCTTCGCCGATCGCGAAGATGTTCTCTTGGGCAGGTGGGTCATAGACTCCTGGTCTCTGTTTGCAAGGGAAGTCGGCGAGATCGTTCATGAGAGGACCATTGGTCAGGGTGTCAGGTCCATATGGGTATGGAGTTCTCATGTCCATGTGAGCGCTCGCAGGGACTGCAGCAAGGACAGCTGCGGTGGCAGCAATGAAAGAAGTTGAGAAATGCATCGTTGCTAAAGTCCGGTTTCGAAAATTGCCTTTCAAGTATGTTCAAGTGTACGAACGAATGCAAGAGACCCTCGGGTATATATCTTCGTTCTAAGCTCGTTCCGGACGAGGAAAGAATCAAATGACACGATAGTGTGCTAGAAGTCGACGGTCGATTGCTCGTAAGATATAGGAATCGCGTTGTCTATGTGTCAAGAACCTGACGGGATCTTTCAGTAAGAAATAGGTTAGCTTAAATGGTATTCAGGACTGAATAGCGGAAGGTTCCACATGAATGGTAGATTGTTGATGTAACTTCCAAGCAAAAGCTGACTGAGGCCAATTGGACGACGAAGTGCAATATCGACATACATACCTTTGACAGTTTCCTAGGCAAGTGGCTTGAGCACGTTCCGAATCGTTACCAGTTGGACACAACGTGTACAAAAGGAATGGAAGACTCTTTGGAAAGATGCCACAGGCAAACAGAGTCAGAAAGGAAAGTGATGACAATGATCAGGAGCTAGCCTGAAACTGTCTTTGGGGAAAAGTGAATGGTCTTGCAAGCAAAGAAGGATATCGGACTTGTACGAACGGACCAGCGCGATGAAGAAGAGAGAGACAAAAGAGGCCGGATCATGAGGGGGAGAGAGGGGGGTTAATATAAGCAGAGGAAGCCAGCGGTGGCCATGCCCGGAGAGGATGTTCTAGTCCAGAGAGCGGGTCCCGGGAATGGGAGCGACAGTGAGAGCGTTGGAGAAGCGGTCGTTGTCGCGCCGCAGAGATGGGCCTTGCCATGAGGCCGACCGGATTGGTTCCCTCGATGCCGGTGGATTTCTCACGCGAAAAGGTTGATGGGATGAAACGGGGCATCGTGCCTAAGGGTGGGCATGGCGATTCGAAACGAAGCTAACTGGGCCCATTCCCACCCTTGGAGGAGATTCCTCGGCAGCCCTGCGCCGGCCATTCAGCATCGAGGACGGCCGCGGGCGTCGCTCATTCGACGCGCACGCTGGGGCTCCCTTGCCGCCCGAGAAGCAGTGACCACTGAGTTGATGCGGCTTCCAGCGGTCACCCTTGTCTCGGAGGATTTTCTTCCTCGGTGTCTTGCCGGATCCACGACCTTTCCTCTGGTTACGGTTGCGGGAAAAAAGGGATTTTTTTCCCACTTTTGTCGTTGAACCCGGCGGTTCTGTGGACAGACGCCGTGCCGGCCGAAGAAAAACCTGCAAGTTGCCGCCACCATCTTTTTTGCCTCGTCCAGTGCCTGGGAACGACAAGCGGGGCGGCACTGCGCTCTGATAGGCCAATGACCCACCAACGAGCGGCCGTCGCTTGTCGAATTGACGGCGTCACTCCAACTCTGTTCGACGCCGGCCCATCACGATGTGCGCTCCAGGTGGAGCCAGAGCCACCACGAGGGGACTGTGGCTCTGGATTCGACAGCGGACGTCGCTTTTCTCGTCCACAGGAACCAGGCACAATCCCATGCCCATTGGATGAGAGCGAAGCGCCAAGCAGACTTGACAGAAGTCGTGAAACGCCCGGGCCAGGCACCTTTGGTCCGCCACGCCCTCCATGATGAAGCCGGAAGTGCCCGCTCTCTTTGCCTCCCCGCCAAACAGAAAATATGGAACGGGTCAAAAGGCAGACTCTGCTGCTCTCCACAGCCCAGGAGCGCTCCCGTATTGCCGGGATTCATATCTTTGGTCCCGGGTCCCCGATCGCCATCCACGAAGGCGGAGGATTTTTCTCACCCACTGCTTGCGAATCGTATCCAGTAATACCAGACTTGGAGGTGGAATCCTCTGGAGTTTGGTCCGGACGAGCTTTCTTCCAATTGGCAACAGGATCCTTGAAGGCTGGACCCGGTCGCGAAACGGAGGGGAGTGTGGCCAGACCATCAGGACCAGGCAAAGCCACAGTTCAAACAGGGCCAGGGGTGAAGATCTGCTCTCAACCACAAGAGCATCCAACACTGGCTGTTGAGGAATCGTGCTGACACCCTTCGCCGTTCACCACAAAGCGCAAAACTCTCGTTCTGCCGATTTGTTTGAAGTCCATGGTAACGATTCCGTATTGTGTGGCCATACATCTCACGTCTCCTTGTGAGTGGCGGATTACCCTTGACCGTTAATGGCTCAAGGTACCGAGAACATGGAAACGAGATCATTCATGTGCTGCATTCGTCCAAACCCAATGTGCCTGTAAAGCCTTTTTTTTTCTTTTTTTTTCCGGTCAAATGCCATCTTGAGAGGCTTCATCCTCGGCTATGTGTTCTTGGTGCCCCACGAATACGGGGATTGAGCAATGAATGCTGCTGAGCAAGCGCCCAGCAATCAGCCACCCAAGCGTGATGGAGCAGTTACACGTTTGACATAATTACTGTAAGCCAAAGGATGGCTGCCATGTGGGCGCCCGTTTCTTGGTGTGTCCAGCAACAAGTTTCGTTTCATTTTTCCTCGAAGAGAAACAGTAGCTACTCCGTATTGATTGAAGCATTCAAATTACTACTTGGTCTTCGAGGCAATTCATCGGTTTCTACCTGAACCATTACAAGTCAATTGGTAGGCCGAAGAGATTTCTCCCATCACAATTTCTTCACATGACGCCTCTTTTTCCGGAGTCCTTGCTGGGGCGATCCAGGCCGCGCTATGTCCAAGGCCCTGCGGAATGCTGCTCGAAATCATCTTTCTTGAATTCTATTTAGACACTATTAGTGCATTCCAAGCCGCGTTGCAATCAGTCGTCCGTGTTCTTTTTGATGCTGATGGCTTGAACTTCAGAATGAGATCTTAGTAACTTCGCAATCCCCACATCAAATCTCCCCCAATGTACCATGTATGTACAGGTTACCGTCCCGAAGTGGAGTATGGACTCCCGTGTGCCCCGATTCTTTTGTACATAGTACGGAGTACATTCTCCGTACATTAGCATGGATTACGGTGGAGGAGACGGCAGGAAGTTGAGCATCTGCATGTGTTGGCGAGATGAATTCCAATGTCCCTGTCAGCTCGAGGTTCCTGACCCGTTCAAATTATGAAATGAAAAAGTTACTCTCATTTGGCATGATCCGAGTGGGAGTTGACTGCTGGTGATGAAACATTTTCTCAGACGTTTGCAACCCCTTGAGTCGATCTTCTCATCCATCCAATTGAAGAACACTATGAGAGGTTTGCCTTCATCTTTTGGAGTAAAGGTGGGTGGACAGGCTCTGGTCACCATTTGTCAAGGGTTTGCGCTTGCATGGGTGCTTTCCATCTCCAAATTTCAGACAGGGGTTCCAAAAGCTTGTGAACGGATGAACCGTGCCTGATGCACAAGCCTCAATATCGAAGCTACTGGACGGGAAATGTCCCGCCGTCACGACGCCATGCTCAGACAGAAAAGAAATCACCACAACCAATACTGCTCATTTAAAAGCAAAATAAAACTCTCCACATCCCTCCCGAGCTGTTCAATTGAAAATAGATTCGGCTACGGAGCACCTGAGGGCTGGTGGATGCGGATCTTCTCCCTTGATGTCCGGGGGGGGGCCTTTGGGAACTCCTTGTTTTTATTTCTCCTATTCAACTGGCGAGTGCAGACTCTGTGGTTTCAAAGTAAAGTTTTTTGTGGTCCATGAATCACACAGATGTCCAATAGCTATAAGAATCGGGCTTTGGAGTGAATCTCGCGTCCAACGGCACGGCCGACGTTGCAAGCAACAAATATCAATAGAAATATTCCCAGCGCTGTAACAAGATGGCTATTCGTCGTCCAGAATCCAGTCAAAGCCATCAGCATGGTCCATGTGGAGATTGAGTCCGGCTCTGAGTGTTGGAATTTGTGCCGTTGGATCGCACCGCTGAATCCCCATCTATCGGCGGAGCATCGCAGTTCGACCAACTGAATTAAAACTTCGGAAACAACGCCCGCATACTCCGTAATTGGACTAAAATTTTTTTTTGGGGTGGCCCACTGAGGATAATCGATCATTCTCAGCTGCGACTGCTGTAATCCGAAGCTGACGATCGTCAAGAGTTCCGGTTCGATCTATCCACAGCGGAGAACAATTCCATCGGAAACCGTGCACGTTCATTGGTATAGTTAATGCTCTCAGAGTTCAAGGCCGGATGACTCCAAACATCGTATTCCTCTTCGTTACTCCGTAAAAACTTCGATATCACACATCATGAAGCTTCAAGAAGTTTTCCTTGCTTTCAATCTGGGCTGTCTGGGAAGAGACAAAGTCCGCCCACATGAAACCTCATCTCTTCCCTTTCTTTTTCCCCTTTTCTTGTCCATTCGTGGCCGCCGATTTCTCAAATCCACCCTTCACCAACGCGTCTCTCGCAGCGGCATTGATAATGCGGAACCTGTCTGGGCCCAGCTTCACTCCGCCATACCACCTCGTAACCACCACAACCACGTCCCAGACATCCATCAACTGCATAAGATGTAGCATTCTGCCTCCTGCCGCAGTCTCTCCATCATCATCGAAATCCTGAACGACGGTGTCAGAACCATCGGCTTTTTTTTGTTTGATGCGCCACGCGGTAATGTTATGCGTGGCAGCAGCGACCTTCTTTTCCGTCGCGAGAAGGTAGTCCAGATATTTCTCTGCCTCTTCTTTTGACTTTACATGCGCCGCCCGAGCGAGAAAGACGGATTTCTTTTCTGTAATCGGATCGGACATGATCCACGACGGAGCAACTTTAAGACCGATGGACGCCAGAAGAGCTTGACCGCTCGAAGGTCCGTGAATATCTAAATCACCCAGCTGCTGAGGATAATTATCTTCCTGCTCTTCTTGCTTCCTACCATTCTCAATATCTTTCGCTTCTTGTTCCGAAGCTCTCACTTCATCGAACCTTTCTCCGGCTTCGACGATCAGGTCATACAGGCACACAGAGCCCGGCGTCCACACCCGCAACACTGCTTCCGACAGTATATCCACCCACTTCTTTCCCTCGCCGCGTAGACCCGTAGATGCAGTCCCGGTAACTCGTGGGGCGGTCTCGGGATACTTCTCGTCAAAGCGAACTATGAATGATATCTGGGTGTGCTCGGGTACATTGAGTATTATTGTTGTAGCAGTGGGCTCGGTCGAACTAGATGTAGGAGGTAGCACAACGGTAGAGGAGCCATAGATTGCGTTGATGGCATCGATTTCTTCGGCGAGGTCGGGATTAGAGAGGGTTTCGGAGGGCATGGTTTGGTTGAGTTGTTTGACGCCTCGATGGAAATGCTGGATTAGCGTTCAAGATGGCTTTGTTAGATGTGGTAATAGCATATGCGAATACAGAAAGAAAGCAAAACTAGCGGTTTACTTGCTAACTTTGCCGTGTGGGATGGTTGAAGGAGTCAGCTTCTAGCTGTGGGCATGGGATTGAAGCGAAGTGGGCTGTGTCGCCAATTCGGTCCTTAAAAACTTGCGACGGAACTGCGCGGTTGCAGGCTCTACACCTTCTCGAGCGTGAGATAACCACTTGAGTCCTTCAACATACAGCGACTATATACAGTAAATATATAGTTATCTACAAATCATGGTAATCTTAATTACACTCGATACCATCAGCAGAGGAATGGGGCAAAAGAGGCATCGTTATGGTCATCATTGTCAATATCGTGGATATCCTTGATCTGCCAAAAGTCACGACAGCCCTCAACAAAATTATGGCTGCTCGTTGCGACATCATGTTCTTCCATTGGCGCGAAGCACAGACGCATATACTGCCACGCGCGATCTTTCACTTGATCCGTTGGTGCAAATAACCAGCCAGGAGCAACAATGAGGCGGTATGGCTTTTTCATCAGATATTTCCACAGAGCGTTCGCTAACTCTGCTGCTGAGGTCTGAGACCATAAAGGATGAGTTTCAAGACATAACTTGATCCAGACGAACATACCTCCGCCCGGCCACTCAAAGTCAAACATTTGGGCATTTTGGACAACCTCCCATTCATCCAGTTCAAGGGCGTCTCCTGAGATTGAACCTTGGATAGCAGAAAATTTACCTTCATCAAGAATGGTGCACATTGTACGCATGCGTTTCTCGTATCCTCCACGCAATCCCTCAAGCCAACGGACCCAGCCGTCCATACGCCACCCTGGAGAGTTTGAGGCGCGGGACTTACGATTAATATCATCACCCTGATCGCCCATTATCATTTGGGCAACCATCGACTGAACAAAGCCCGAAGGATTTTGCGTAGAAGTCTCGCTAATCTGCAAGACTCGCCTCACGATACTGGGCTGCGCCGTAAGCCAGCCTAGCCGACAGCCAGGAGCAATAATTTTGGAAAAGGTATCCAAGCGAACGACACGGCCATCAGTGTCCATGGAAAGATATGACCGGACTAACGAATCCAAGAATGGGTAACCAGATCGTTGGCCATGCAGGTCACGATTGGAGTCATCATCTGGGTGGAATTTAGTATGCTCAGCGATCCCCTTGGACAGATATTGTAGATGCCAGTAAGGCTCGTCTTCTACAATTATGATATCGTACTTCTGGCAAAAAGCGTAGATCTCTCGGCGCCTGTCGAAGGGAAGTACCGAGCCTGTGGGATTCTGCCCGAGACTAGTAATCCAGTGCTGTTAGCCGGGACTGGAAAGGATTCTCCGTCTGCGGATAGAACAGTACTAACGTCACAGTGTACATCAGATGAGGTCGTCGTCCACGACTGAAATCCCAGTTATCGAGGACATCTGCTAGTCCACCTTTCCCTTCCACTCTCATCCCCTGGGAATCTACGACAACAGGAACGATATTAATACCGCGAGGCTGCGCTGTTTGAATAGCATTCATATATGCGAATTCTTCACATAGTAACCCCTGTCGTTCACCGATCCGGTCTCGATCCTCAACCCAGACATCTGTAAAGATCTCGATGGTCTTTGAGAGTCCGTCAGTCGCTCCACATGTTAAAATTACTTCCGGTCCTCCTTCGTACGGCAGACTGGGAAGTAGGTTCTCCCGGACGAATTGCCGGATAAACAAACGCAATGGCGGATATCCGTCGATTGCACCGTATTGCAGAGCTGTCGCCAGGTCTACTTTTCTGAGCACATCGGAAGTGTCGCTTTCCTTTGGAATTGTCACTTTCCGCGAGGGGAGGGACGTCGCTGTCGAGGCGATTCGTCCTGAATTTTGCAATCCGTGAGAGGAGCTCTCTCGGGGTAATCGGTGCGGGAAAGCAACGGTCGCCTCAAGGGAGTCGAAGGGAAAGTAAGAAACGTGCGGGAGGCCTGGCCGTTGATTAGCGATGGGACACAGCAATCACGCATTAGTTGACGCTCGCTCTTCACCTCCGGCTAGATTATGAATGCCAGGGATGGCGAAGTACTTGTAGAACTCCTTGACGCTGCTTCCTTGGCGATTTTTGGTCGCAAAGGAATAATAATGGGAGAAATTCCGGGGAGGGCGGAGCTTGGGCTTTCCCGTCTTACTCCGCCACGGATCGTCATCTTTACCCTGGATGGGCGCTGGCACATGTGTGTCTGTGACACCCCCAGCCATTATTGAACAAATGCTCTTCAGCGACTCCGTGGATATCCTGCTGACCGCGACTGCCCAGCTCCTCGCAGCCCAAGGAGCCCAACTAAAACAAGCCCCGGAGAAGCCTCAGAAAAGTCCTTCGTTTCGCGGACTGGATCACCAGGTGCACATCCTGCAGCGCGGATTTGGGTTAAACTCGACAACAGACTTTTTACTCCGTAGACGGTAGAACCCTCCAAAGTCACTTGGGAGTTACCACGAAGTTAATCTTCTCGCAGCTTAGTGCTTCCGCCTTTCCGATCGATTGATCCAGACGATTGTTGCTAAGGAACTTGGGTCTTGGCTGTCGCACCCATGTGTGTTCGACTTCATCATGCACTGACGTCGATGTCTCATTTGACCGCGAAGCCTTTCTTTTTTTAAAGAATAAAGGAAGCAGGCGCCTTCATTCCGTCTATTTTCTACAAGCCGAGCTGGATATCGGCTTGCGAGTCTCTTTTCTGTTACCTGTCGACTTTGATTCTAACACCCTGTCAAGCGCTCCGGAGAAGCCGGGAGGCTGATGTGGCGCTGAAGAAGACTTGCGGCTCTTTCGGCATCGTTGACTTGCTCGCTTTTCTAGACTATCACATCGCAGACAAAGCAATAACACTTCCGGTTTGTTTCTGGCCCTATTCCGCTTCAACAACCTCTTGCCGTGCGCTGACAGTTGAGGTCCTGTCTGATAGAAGACGTCAAGATGCCTTATGAAAGCCGTGATGAAGAAGAAGGCCTCTCTGGACGGACGGCTGTTTCTTCCGAGACGGACGATATACTTGACTATGACTCTGCGGCCCCAGGCTCCCGACTGAATATAACCTCCGAAGGCGATCCCACCACTTCCTTGCCCCTACCCGTTTGGCTGACGGAATCGTCAAAGGCTTTCAAGTGGAAATGGGTTCCTCTACCATTGAGAAAAGCAGCCAGGACGTCTGTTGGATGGCTGAAGGGGCCTCAACCTCCGCAGGATCTGCGCTTCAACCCGCTTCTCCCTTCCATGCAGGAAACACCTATCCGGCTTTTGAACCGCTTTTTACCCAAAAGAAAGCACAAGATTGCACTGCTACTATTTGCATACTTCAGCTGGTTCTTATCGTGGTCTTTGGTTTTGAGACATTCAGTCTCTGCTGGGCATATCGAAGGTTATGGGCAGCCGCATCCGATATCTTGCAGTGCAACTTACTGGTTGGTTCCTCCATTGTTCTATTGCTTGCCCCGTTGCGAGTTTCGCTAATAGATGGCTTATTGACAGGTCTGGTGGCAATCAATGTGGTTTAAACGGGTACGACTGTCGCCCGTTCAACGCCTCTACTTTCACCTTCAGGTGCCCCGCGTTTTGCAGCAGTCTAATCCTGCTAAACCCCCATACTGTTGGGAACCAAACTTTGAATTACCAGCCCCTAATCGTCGGAGGTCCGAAGCCAGGTTCCTCAGACGGTATATACCGGGCAGATAGCTTCATTTGTCAAGCTGCAATCCATGCCGGTGTCATCTCCGATTCGACTGGAGGATGTGGTGTTGTTGAACTCACCGGAACCTCGCATTCTTACCTTTCGAGCTCAGCGAACGGGTTTACTTCTACATCATTCCTTTCAACTTTTCCGAAATCATTCCGTTTCTTGCGGCTTCCTGGATCCCAGTCGGACTGTCCGCAAGACCTGAGATGGCCCCTGTTTGCCATAACCGCAAGCACTATTGTGCTAATCTCGATATTCACGACGTCTCCTGCTGTTTTCTTTTTCAGTACTTTCTTCATCCTCATGCTGCACGTTGGGTTGGTGTCAGATCCCCCAAGCGTTTCCCAGGTTCGCGAGTTGATCTCGCTCCACTTCGCTCGGCTTCTTCCTGCCAGTTTCATCGCGTACGTTCTTTATTTATACTGTGCGGTGCCACTTCTACGGCCACTTTCATCGCCTCCAATGTATCAGTTGAGCAAGACGATACTTTATCTTGCTCCTGCTTTTATTGGCGCGTTGAACAACTATACTTTTGCCGTTTGGATACCCATTCAGCGACTGACCCCCTATGATCTCAAGAACCAACCCGGTGCTCCCCTTGCACTGGTCATCGTGCTTATAATTGTTGTCATGATTGTACTTTGCCAAATGTGGTACATCCGTATGGGTGGGCTATTCTTCCGGTATCTCAAAATTTATGCCACGATGGGAATTATGGTTCTCATTTTGCTGATATTGCCTGGCTTCCGCCTTCGAATCCATCACTACATCCTGGCTATGCTGCTAATGCCAGGCACCGGCTTCCCGACGCGAACGTCGCTGATATTTCAAGGCCTCTTGCTTGGCCTTTTCGTCAACGGAGTTGCAAGGTGGGGCTTCGCATCCATCATCCAGACTCCCAGTGCATTGGGCGAACGCCCAAGCCCTGGTGGTAAAGATGGTTGGTGGGGCGCAACAAGCCCTAACATCACAAACTCCTCTGTCTCGATCTCGTTGCCTTCAGCACCAGAGTATCGTGGCAATGGAAATATCACCTTCCACCTCTGGGAACCGGAACGCATGGAAGCACTGCAGGTCGATGGGGTCAGTGTGCTGGTTAATGATGTAGAAAGATGGCGTGGTTACGTGGATGAAGACAAAAAAGGGGATTTCACCTGGTACCGCCGTGGTCATCGTGGCCTTGACATCGAGGACGAAGAGGACGATGACGAAGCCCCGGAGGATCTCTTTTTCCGCTTTGCATTCTTGCGCGGCTCGACAGCTGGAAAATATGGAGGGGTTGCCGTTTGGAACCGTGATGGGTCCTGGATTCCGCCCCCCCCTCCGAGAACATAGTTCGGTTTCTAGAAATTTCATACAGAAGAAAGGGCGCACGACATGGTTTAGAATTATTTGTGAATTTTTATCGGTTCTGGAGCTTTACGGGTTCGGTTAGTTCGATGGACAGGCTTTGGGTTCGGAAGATACATATGGTATACTCGGTGTTTAGATGCCTCAATCCGGATGATGGCTTTAGATGGATTTTTTTTTCTTTTTTTCCTTTTTTTTTTTGCTGGTTGATATGATTATTATTATTATAGACATGTTTATAGCTTTCGAACAGCCCCTATCGGGCCTTTTGGAATGATTCAACTGGCTAGGGCCTCATCCCCCTGTTACCTTACCAGCAACCCTGGTTTGCTTTTCGGCTTCTAGTCTGACCATCGTGAACGTATGTGCTTCTTCAGCCGGTTGGGATTCTGTTGTCTGCAAAAAGTTTTATCACGTGATATAAACGTGTATATGTCACGTGATAAAGGGCTTGGCGGTCATTTGGGGGATTCACAGGGCCTTCCCGTCATCTCTTTGATTATCACACGACATCCTTTAGTATCTTCAGAGGATCAACTACCTGCTCCAGAAATCCTTTATGCAATCTTTGCTGGCTGTCCCTGTGCGAGTCTGTAAGGCTCATCGTTGGCTCTGCACGATCGCCTCCGTCGAAGTTCAAAGTCAAACACCTCCGAACCGCATTAGCGAACACGTCGCCACACCGATGTGCAAGTCTTTCATTTGCGTGTCTTAAGAGATACTGGGTAACCTTCTCTGGAAGCCTCTGTTCAGGCTTCAGACCAGATATCATGTCTTCAGCCCTCTCCCATAGGCCAATTTCAAGCAGGATCACGCCGAGTGAGTAGACATCATGGACTTGGGTGAACGTCTCCCGTGGAGTTCCCCATCTCTTTGGATGTCTGTACACATTTCTGGCGAGTTGATTGTCGTAGGGCCCTAATGAGCTATCAACCGAAGGTCTCGAAGCCTCGAAACCACAAATCCGAATTTCTGCTCGCTGAAGGGCTGCCCTATTTAGACTTTCATCGGGGAAGAGAAACAGGACATTTTCGCTGCGTAATGCTCGGTGAACCCAATCTACTGAATGTAACAGGAATAACGACTCTGCAAGCTGGTGGCACATATTGAAACGGAGTCCCAGCGATGGCCTTTGGTCAGGTTTGATGCCGTGGTACAGGCCGACAAGCGTTCTGGTTGTCGGTGTAGCATTCGAGCCTGAGAGGCACGAAATGAGGCGGAGTTGACCCGAGTTCGCGGATATTTGTTTGCAGTACCTTAGGCAGCGCAGCACTCGGAAGTCGGGATCGCTCTGACTGCTCAAAAGCCTTACAATCTTGGAGAACCTTTCCTCCAAAATGTCCGAAAGCTCCCCATCGTCGTCCACTGGAAACGTGAGGGTCTCGACAAGCACGGCACTCCCTTCGAAGACGCCGACTATTTTATCAGAGGAGATAGTCTTGCTGTTATTGACAGACGTCCATGGCGCGCTGAGAGCTTGTGGCAACTTTGTCTGGTCAATTAATAGCTTCCGTATCGCCGTTGATGCCGCAAAACCCGCAGTGCGAGCGTCAGTGTCAGATTGCAATGTGTTGAGATTCGACAGCACGTTGAATACGGGCAACGGCCACCATGCATCCTCTAGAATGGCCTTGGTCCGCTTCAGCCAGTCTTCAAATTCATCAATAACACGCACAACTTTCCTTTTCCCTCGAGTAGCCCAAGACCATCCGACAACAGATGCTAAGGGCGATTTTTTACAAGTATCCGGGTCGTTTCCTGACGTGTTTCTTTGGAATAAGATCTTCTCCTCGCCTGCTGTTAAACCAAAATGAGTCGCGAAGTCCGATCTTGTCCTAGATGGCTCAGAAGATATCGCGTACTTCTGCTCCAGGGCGAAGTGGGCATACAGTAATTGCAAAAGCTCCCGGAGAAGCTGAACAACGATGTTCTGGCTTTGATCAGGAAGCACTTCGAAAAGCTTTCTGCCATGGAGAAATGGGAATTTCTCCCCTTCGAAAAGCACCTTTTGGAGGGCGTCGTAGCGATGAGAGAGTTGTTGAAATTTGAGACCGAGTTTTGCTGCATCGGTCCCATATTGCTTGACATCGCTTACAGTATCGTACCCAACTCTAAGCACTTTGATGGTCACTTGGACAATTTCGACAGCTGCCACTACGCTCTGAAAGCTGTCCATCGTGTGAAAATTGTGGTGAACTGATAGTGGCAGCGGTGAAGGGTATTTCGTAAATTACTCGGCACTTCGTCCTTTTTTCTATAATCCGACTATCTGTATGGAGAGAAAATGTTCGCTTAGTCGACGTGATTGCGAGCAATTGGTATTGCGGGGAAGGGTGCTAACTAGCCAACTTATCAATTTATAATTGGCAAGGCTCCGCGAAAATATAACTACATAACCACTCCGCCCTGGAATGGCTCGTGGAGCGCGCAGAATATGAACCTTTGCCCTACTAGAACAGCATTCGCATGAGCGATGAGTTGGTGACGTCTTAAATAATCGATCCAGCATTATTATTTGATATGACGCCGAAATATTGAAGTTTAGCACCATGAGCTTAGGTTCCCAGATCCTATCGTTCCGGTCGAACCTTGCGGATAGCCTTTCAATTGTTCAGAGTAACTGTGGACTTGGCGCATCGTCCGATCCTGTTGAGAAAATAACCAAACCTGTGCCGTTATTTGATTTTCTTCGTATCGCCTCTGCGTCCGGCCTCCGCCAGTATGCCCAAGATTTTGCGGAGCAAGGACTTATGAGCGCAAGGTTGGGCGATGGGGCCGACTATATTGTCGACAAAGTGAAAAGCCGGGACGGACAGATTGTCGTTGTTAAGCATGTCAAAGCTATCGCTTCGCTGGACATTGGGGTAACACGGTCTTCAAGTGATGAGAGCTCCCAAATACGCAAGGTTTTACGCGAAATTAAAATTGCCACGCATCCAGCGCTCAAAGAAAACGCAAATATATTGCAAATGAAAGGGTTTGGTTGGGAACTAGCAGAAGGTAGTCTGGCAATTCCTTTCCTAGTGGTGGAATACGCAGAACATGGCACTTTGCGGAGCTACCTTCAGAATAATCGGGGTCTGTGGGCGTGGAAGCCAAACTTGATCTAGCTTTCGGGGCAGCGAAAGGGCTTCAAGCTCTGCACAGCAATCGCATCGCCCATGGGGACTTGAAGCTAGAGAATGCCCTGGTGGTATCCAGCGCCTCTGAGCACGCAGCGTTAAAGATCACCGATTTCGGATTATCAGTGGTGCTAGAGGACGATGCGGGTTTATATGAATACTTGGGAACCTTGTGCTATCGACCGCCTGAAGTTTGCCAGCAAGCTGGTGATTCTTCGGCAGCAGGATTGATCACTGGATCTAGCTACCGAGCTTGTGACATTTACACGTGTGGACTCCTGCTTTTGGAGATTTTGATTGATGGCGAACGTTACTTTGGCCTAGCTGGTCAGCAAGTTCAGCTGGAGGAGCGCTCTGCAGCTTTGCAATGTTTACTACAGGTGGCCGACCAAAAATCTGTGGTCCTTGCTACCATTAAGAGCATGGTGGAATCCTGCCTACACGCGGAAGCTGGGGAGCGGCCACAAATTCAAGAAATTGTTTCCCGATTTGGAGATGTTAAGGGGTTCGTTAGGTCTCCACATCTTTAGCCTAGTGGAACTAACATAGAACCAGTGACGGAGAAATGCTGGGAGATCAAGATGTGTCTCCCTTCACATTTTCGGAGTTATCTCGCGAAGAATCTGATGGTATCGTTAACATGAACCAGGTTAGAATGCACCAGACTACTTCATTCCAACTCCTATCCGTTGATGCATCTTCTTTAGTTGTTTGCAACTCTGGTCGGCCACGAACTTCATGATGGGTTCGTACATGTCGCTCCTTGGAACATACAAGAATTGATAGCGGAGGGTTTGCGTGAGCGAACTACCCTCCCTAACTACAAGATAGCTTTGCAAGCTTGTTTAGAACTGGGAATATGCCATTACTTAGGTTTTGGCGTCGATAGAGACCAAAGAAAGGTCCTGCAGTATATGGACCACGCCGCAATTAAAGGGAGTTTCGAGGCTCGCCGGATACGCCATCGACTACACGGGGCCTTTTCAGAGACAATGGAGCCACTTAATGTACAAGTAGAACTTGATGACCAAGAGGAATTGCAACTCCAGCGTATCCTGCTGGCCGAATCAGCCCACCGAGAGGTTAATCCTTTTCAGGTATTCGACGAAGTGGTCCAGGGGGACTTTCGGCTTCAGATGGGTGATGAAGAGCTTACCCTTCATCAGGCAGCCTATATAGGGGATCTAGGCCTGATTCGAGAGATTCTAAAAAGTACAAGGGACTTTCAAGATGACCAGGGCCGCACAGCTCTGTTTCTTGCCGTCCAAGGAGGCCATTTGGATGCCATGGAGATGCTCCTTGAGCTAGGCGACAGCGACCCTAGCATTTCAGATTATGATGGTCACACCGCCCTTCATATGCTAGTCATGCTAAAAATTACAGAAGTCGAAGCTGCCCTGTCCCTGATGTTGCGGTTCTACCCCGGATTGGACCTGGATGTCTTCTCTTCATCTATTCTCGATGCATCGGAACATTGGTGTGAGTTATGGGGTGCTCCACTCCACTGGGCTGTTTTAGCCGGGAATAGAGCGATGACCTTTTGTCTGGTGAGGTCAGGAGTGCGTGTTCATGACTGGCCTGAGGATTTATGCCCCATAAGAATCGCTGTTTCTCTTCATTTGTCCGACATCCTTGAAATACTTCTAGCGGCAATTCCAACCAAAGTTTTTTTCCAAGGAGGAAATATGCTACTGGCTCTGAACTCTAGTAATCCATTTCGGAGACTATTATTGCATGGTAAAAATTACGTCTCCGAAATCGAAAGGACTATAACATTGCTCACGAGTACATACTCTAGTGTGGGTGCGGGGAACTCATTGATAAAAGGCAACCCTTTACGGAACATTTTGATACACAACTTTTCTGACAGCGATTACTATATTGCAAAGGCTCTGGTTGCAGTCGGGACATACAAAGATGACAATGAAGGCTGGACGTTATTGCAATCTGCGATTCTGGGTTGTCGTGGCTCACCGTTGTCATCTGTTTGTCGGATGGCCCTTGATATGATTGACATTTCACAGGACTTCAGACTGAGGAGCACGGACTATAAGAAAGGATGGATGGCGTTGCATTGGGTAGCTGCTGGCGGTACCGTTCCTGTGGCTAAGATGCTGCTTCAAATTGACCCAGACTCCATAAACGTTCGCACGCAAGAAGAGGAAGAAAGAACGCCACTTCATCTAGCAGCAGAGGCTGGAAAGAGCATTGCCATGGTTAAACTTTTGCTCGATCGCGGAGCCGATGCCTCCTTAACAACATCGGCCCTGAAGCTTACTCCACTCGGTACCTTCATTAGCAATGGAAGAAGTGAGCTTAATATCGACATATTAACAGCTCTACTGCAGGCATCGAAGCGGACAGGTTACTTAGCATTTAGCTCCGACAATTGGAATGTCTTACACTATGCTGCAGCTCGTGCCGCGATTCTTGATTCAGAGTCGCTACCTGGCCATGTTCTCCTAAGGACGCTTGCCTCAATGCAAGAGATGAAATCGCTGATCGAGTCGACTACAGCACGAGGATGGACTCCACTTCATCTTGCCAGCTATTTCATTGATTATACAACGATAAGGGTGCTAGTAGAGGAGATGAATGCAGATGTTCGAGCACAAACGCCGAACAACGCAACAGCCTTTGATATTGTGATGGAGCGAGCAAGACGGTTCCCTGATAGTTTGCGTGGAGCAGACTCCTTTGCAAGATGGAGCAGGCAAGCATATCGCTCTGCCCTTTCTTGCAATTGAAACTCGAAGAAACCCAAGGGTCATACCATCTCACGCCGCTACACGTCGCAGCTTACATGGGATATCATGTCGAGGTTACCAAGCTCATAAATAAAGACCCGAATAGCGTCTTTGAGACAAACTGGGAGGGGAAGACGCCCTTACAAATGTTGCAGAACACAATGCCCACTCATATAGATGCAAAGTGGGCTCAGAGATTTTGTAGGCTCGCAGAAAGAGTCTGCGAGGTGCTCATGGTTGTCGAGAATGAAAGGCACAGGAGATAAAGATGCTTCCGGTTGTGTATCCTAGTCAGTACAGCAGCATAGTATGCTAATTATCATTTCAAATCCAGCTGACAGAGCATTATGGTTCACGTTACAACCTAGTTTTTAATTCCAGTCACCCAACACTCTGGGCCATATTTCTTGCTTTGATTGGTCCGCGGGACCAGAGTGTTTGAAGAAAAGCTTGACCGAGATATCTTGGGAAATGGCATCCGAATATTTTCCCGGACATGGAAGCAAGCGGATAGATCGGTTAACAAGCGGCTTTCCGTTAGACGTACGGATAATAACGATAATAAACAACCCTCCAGTGCTTGTTTTGTCGCTGACATATCTGCTATGGATGGCGCTCGTTTTAATCGCAATCTCTATTTTAAAAGCACAAGGCCATGATTGGTAGGGGTGGGAAATGCGAAGTAGGCGTGGATTGTAATGGCCGCTTGGCCGCCGCTTGGGGTACGCGCACCCCGGGAAACCCATCTCTCAGGTGATCGGCGTGGGTAAACGACGGCATATGATCAACCCATGCTATGAGGAACTGAATGCGATGAGATTACTAGTGAAGAGATCTTCGTGGTCGTTATGGACACCAGGGTCTAATAACAACTGTCCAGGACTTGATGGTGGCCCTGGTACTGATTTCAAATCCACCGTGGCCCATGATCCCGTTCTTGATGCTTCAGACGGTGAGCTGCATGATGATCGATTCAGAGGATTGCGCGTCGCACGACATCCATGAACCAAGGAGGTAATCCCAATCCACTCAAGAGACCTGGCGTTAACTGACGGAAAACTCCTTGAGGACCACAGCTGACACTGGAACCGATGGTGTTCTTGGTATTTCCCCCTCAAAATCCATGGCAGCGAGAGTTGGTGTCATATCTGCATATCTCGTGTCTACCCTGGTCCGCGAGATAGTCACCATCTAAGCCACCTTTAAAACTTTTGAGAGTTAACTTCAGATGCAGCATATTGGGCGACTCACTGACTCGAATTGCGGGCGACCCTGGTGTACTGGGCGCATATTCTCGACAGATAGCGCTGCCTTGGCCCTGGGGATTCTCTTCATTGGGTTAATGAACCTCTTTAACAACTCAGGGCACTTTTTCCTCAACATTGAGAAACAGGCAAAGACACTGAAGTTTATATCTTTAATGCTAAACATCCTATTGAGATGCCCTCTAACCAGTATAACTGGATGGAATGAAAAAAGCGCGGCGGGCTCATCCCGCGTCTTCGAGGTAAAATGCTTGAGTTAGACATTATTTGAATCAAACGCCAGGATAGTTCAACTCACCTTGATAACATTGCTCAGGCATGCGCTGTGTTTGAAGCCAGAAAGATTGGATTCCCGGAAATTTTTTAACCATATCAACACTTGCAGCTGGCCTCAGCTTTCGTTGATCCCGCCCGCAATATCCGCCAAAAATGGTGAGTCTGGAATCATATGTTTGTCAGCATTTTGACGCCTCCTCGTGGGAAAATCACATATTACATACATACAAGGGAGCTGAGTACCCGAAGATGCCAAAAAACGCCAAGCATTGGCGTACTTGTAACTTTGGTAACTTACGCCAATACGGTTACAGGGTACGGAGTACTGTATGACCCCCGCCGGCCCCGTGGACTGATGTGCACGTGACGAGGTTGTCTTTCTAATTTAAGGTTATTTTTAGCTGCTCAGATCTTCTTCACCTTTAATATGACCTCCGAAGTCGCACCAGGAAGTCCTAGCAAAAGCACCGAGCAGGGATGATCCCAAAAGTACGGTATGTCGACGCGATGGGGCCGATCCTACGGTACTTGTAATTTGCCCTGGGGAGGTTAAACGAATTTATCCCGGCATACAATATCTGGGATCCCAGCTGGGTAGAGCAGCACAACCCCAGAAACCGAGTTTCTAATAAAAGCCCAGAACTAGTAAAATATGCACCAGTCAATCCATGGCAAAATCATAGCCATTTCAGGTTTGAGTTCCGTTCCTCCAACCCTTTGACCTTGAAGTGAAAGTACTCTGTGGAGGATCGGCTCAAAGACGATAACAAAGAATAACACTGCTATTGAACACAAATGTGTTCATGTATTACTGTTCATCGACAAATTTCATTGAAATGTGCTATATACGTAGCTGGTATCTGATTATAAAGACCTTGAATAAATAGGTATCTTTCCCAGCGAGAGTGGAAGGGAAAAAAGAAATTAGTCTTTCGATAATAGGAGTCCAATAGTCGACGCCAACATACACAAGCCCTAAACTACCTCTCTTCATCATTATTTTGTCCCTTGAAGTGTGCATTTGGGAGAGTGTTAAGCTTGTCCTCCTCTTTATCAATCTTGTAGTTGGTAAGCCAGAAGCCGATGCCACCAGCAAATGTGAGGCAGGCTGTGACACCGTAATTCCAGATCAAGAGAGGATCCTCAGCAAGTGAGACGAGGGCCTGGCCCAATGCAGAAGAAAGAGCGTTCATGAAGAGCGCGACAGCCTGGACCAATGATCTCATGTTCTTCGGGGCTTTTGTAAAGGCGTATTCGAGGGATGTGACAGACGCAAAGATTTCGGAGATACCACCGCAGACGTAAGGAACAGCCTGAACCCAGACAGTGATTGGCGCCGGAATATTGTCTTTCGCACATGTATTCGCGTACTTGCCACAAGGGCCCAATTTATAAATGTGATATTGGATCACAGTGGCGGCGATCATGGCGCAGCTAGCAATAAAGAAGCCAGCTGTAATACGCTTCAGAGGAGTGAACTTGATACCCAGCTTGCGCAGAATTGGGTATACAATCCTATCCATAATGGGGATAAAGAGGATGAGCGCAAACGGATTGAGATTGTTAACAACGTCGTTAGGGACACCATTTAAGGTCATCGTGGCAGCCTGGGAAGTTAAATTGTTTGTCATTTGGTTGTAAGAAAGCCCTGAGGACCTCAACATTAGTTTTAAAATTCATGTCAGCCAGGTCGGAGTAAGCTTACAGAAGAGAGGGTACCAGAGGAAGACCTTGCAGGCCAACAGTCCACGTCGGACTTCATCAACCCAGGCATCGTCAAAGTTCATCCATGCTGGTCTGTTTGGAATATTGCTTGGCTTCGCTGCTTCCCACATGTTGGGATCCTGGAAGTTGCGATAACTGTATGGCACTGACTTTTAGAAACAGGTTACACACAAAAAAGCAGCTTCTTCATAACTTACGTCTTCACGGGGTTGATCGACCACCGACCCTTCATAGCCAACCCCCACACTTTCAATGCTTTGCCATAGACAGATCCTTGTGGTGGCGTTAAGACATATACCTTGCGGCACAGGAACAAGACGAGCGGGCAAAGGGAGAACATGATTGTCGGCAGGAGGAAAGACAAGTAAAATCCAACATATTTCTCCGCATAAACCATGGAGACCTGACCAACAAGGGCACCGATGTTGATCATGAGGTAAAAATAATGGTAGATACGAGAAATGGTCGCTGCTGGATCGACAATAACCCGCTCCCCTTTTTTCGTGGTCGTGACATACGGGTGGCTTTCCTTGTACTGCTCAGCAATTAAAGGAGAGATATTGGATCTATGCCCTGTCAGTAAACTAAGCAATAGGCAAATGGAAGAACCCAGCATACTTGAAACCTCCGGTTCCGATTCCCATAACGACCACGCCAACAGCGAACGCAGCCAGTGCGCTGGGGCCTTTGGCAATGACTGGTGGAAGTGCAGAGATAATGAGAATGATATGGCCAATCATGGCACAAGCGATAGACCACATGATGGTTTTGAAGCGGCCAAGGTATTGATCCGCAACATAAGCACCGACCAACGGCATAATGTAGGACCAAAACTGGTTGACTGTTTGAATGAGTGAATTAGCGACAGAAACACCTGGGACTTTGAGCTGTTCGAGCAACTTACACATGGTCAATCCAGCGGAGGCACGCTGACCCAAGCCCAAGGCGCCGGCAGTTCTGTGGGTTCCGCCAGCGCCAGTTGTCGATCCCTCAGGAAGTGGTCGCTGAATGTAATTGGTAACTAGAAAATGGTATATTAATCATCTGCTTTTCTCCCCCAAAACAGACGATTCCTCGGGATTGCACATACAGACGTTGATTGTGCCATAGTAGGAGAAGCGCTCGCAAAGTTCGACAAAGGCAATACTGAAAGTGATCCAAGGAATCTTATCAGATACTCTGCGCAGCGTTAACATCTCCTCGTCGGTGGGCGCAGTCCGATTAAGTCCCATGCCCTCGTCGTCGCTGTCATGGCGACTTCCAGCACCTCCAACATGTACTGAAATTTCCTTCTCGTCAAGAACACTGGAGACGTGAGGAATGTCGACAGCACCCTTGTGGGGGTCAACACTAGCTGGTGCTTTTTCGGACATTTTCTCAGGCGGATTGGAGTTGTTGCCCTTGACTCAGGTTGAGCAGAAGAAGCAACACCTGAGAACGGGAAACCGGATGGTTTCTGGGGCAGAACCGGGAGCTCCTTTCTATATGTATGGGGAAGTGTGGATAGGCACAATGCAACCCCGCTTGTAGCCGTGGATTGGCCTTTGGAAGGATTATATCGAGCAAGCTCCCGGGCTATTCGCCATGATCCCTTGCCACTCCGCAGAATTGGCGAAATAAACTAAAAAGCGTGTCTGAGGCTACTTGGTTTGGGTGGGGTATATTAACGGGAACCAAGACGCCCAGACGAGAAGAAGGTTGCAGCGAAGATGGGGTGCCGTCAAACCTGGAACGGCCTGAGAGGCAGTCTGACAATAGAAATTTTGCCAACCGGGGATGGAGCGGCATAGGCATGTCAGGTTCTCCATTCTTGAAGTCCAATAAGTCTGTGGAGGTGCCAAGTACGCATAAGTGGAAGGCCAGACATAGCCAAGAGCAGAGGATGGGGGACCGTTTCACTGAGCCCGTACGGAGTATTTTCGTGAATAATAAATTACCTCAAAAAGACTTTGACGACAACTTGGCGGAACGGATAACTCCACGCTCAGCCAACTGGATGGTTACGCCATTGACTCTCAGACAAGGAGTTACAGGAGCTGAAAGGCATTTCTCTGTTGTCAATTGAATATTAATTATGATGCATGAAACATAGAATGTACTGATGTGCTTTCCCCAACAACATAAACTTCCTAGTAGCCAGGAAAATGGCGCCGGAAAATTGCTTTGCAGCGTGGGATTTCATTTCCACGAGAACACTGTTTGGTTTCCATGCGCTTGCACCCATGAACCTTTTGCAGGTGGTATGGAGCAAATCTGTAATCGTTGGGTATGTTATAATTGTGTTAGTATTTTCAGAAAGGAAATAGTGTGGGATCGTATTTGGCTGTGATTCAGGCATCTGTTGTCCAATCATTTCTCCTGTCAAGCAATTTCATTCCGTGTGACAATAAGACGACCCCGTGGAGATTCAGCGACACAATCGCAATGAGGAGGTAACTTTCAGCGCTGATTGGCGAACACTCGGTCATGAGAAGATGAGAACACCCTGTTAACTTTTTTGGCGAGACGGGAGGGCTTGATTGCGCAAGAAGGGTGGCTGCTTCTCTCGGCTTGGGTGGCTCCAGATAAAGATTTTACGTTTTCTTTAAGAGCAAAGTGATTTGTTGATTTGATTGATTTTTACCTGGCATCGTGACCGAGGAGATTGGGTCTGTTCATTTCTCTTTTCTCCTCGCCGCATTCTTGGTTGGATAAGGCTGTTTTCGACTGCGAAAAAGGGCTGACAAGGGGGACGACTCTGAAGCTGCCGGGGCATGTGGAGAACGAGAGTAGCATCACATGTTGTTTACATCCGGGAGACAAGGGGTGGTGTGGTTCACAGTCTGGAGAATCCTGGTAGCAGAACCAACAACGACGATTCCTCGAAAGTCAATTTTGTTCCACGGAACTTCTGGGTGCTATTTTTGAGCTAGTGAGCCGGCTGATCAGCACCAAGAAACAGCCACAACTCAAGCACTTTGGGCTTGGCAGGCTTGTGTCTTCAACTTGGCTGTAACCGCCCAGACATGGTCATTTTCTGCGAACGGCCGCTATCTGGGCGCTTATTATTTCCCGACGAGGATTGTGATTGCCATACCGCTGCTGGGCAGATATGTTGTCTCTTTGTATGAGGGGTCAAAACGCTCTGGGACCAAGATGAAAGCGAAGACGTGGGATGGCGTGTGGTGCTGCGAGCGCCGGCGGCAGGGGAAGCGGAGGCCGAGGGCGAGGTTGAAGGCGTTGCTTGGCCGGTTTAGCGATCATACCCAAGAGCGACGTGGCTGGCGCGCTAGGCCGAATATGGTTAGGCTCTGCCAGTTGGTGCCCGCGCTTGCATCGCAGCATTATCACCGGGGAAATTAGCTTCACCAAGACAGGACCGCGTGGTATCGTGAAATTTTTTTTTTCATTTTCGACCGAGCGAGGTGGATCCGCAATGATCATTAGACGCCGATTAGAGAAGCACGCGCATCGAAGCCGTCAACGAGTCGCCAGGCAAAGCAGTTAGAGGACAGTTAGAGGAGTTGGCATCATTGTCTGTTCGCTTTTTTCAAGTCTTAAGCTTCGCCAAGTCAGTGGCTTCCCCTAAAGCCTCTTTTTTATTGTGTCTCAAGTGAGCGGTTAGTCGTGGCCATCAGTGCTTGTGTTCGAATGGCTGGGCATGGCGTTTCCAGCAGAACGAGAGAAGTCTAAAACGAGAGGACGACCGTCCAGCTTCAAGACACTCGGCATACGTATGCTTCGGGTTTGTATTAATTGCTATCTCCACCGGCAACAGAAAATTTCTTATCCGCTTCTGTCCCAATCAGCCAGCTTCCACGCCCATCATTCGACATTGGGCAAAGTAGAATACACCCTCCCTACCCTCAACGGGGAGCTTTGGGAACAGGAAATATTTGCTTAGGGTTTTGTCGTCGGAATATCTCTCTTCCTAGATGGTGGTTAAAGACCTCATCCATCTCTATGTGCCCCTAGCGTCTCTAGCTCCACGGTTAGCACGAGGTCAAGACGCGCCCAACCCAATTGCTACATCCCAGTCCCAAAGCGAAGTTACATTTGGGCATTTTTGATCAAGATAGCCTCGTGGTCCTCAGACGACATAAAGGACCAACTACTGGGAACCAGGCAACAAGTCGCTCTAATGGTAGGCCAGACGCTAACGAGCCTATGAGCACGATGGAGGCACAGAGATCCGACACGACATGACCTTATTAGCGGTTGGATTTTGAACTCATGCGCATGCCATTCTCTCCGGCTTTCCGGTCTCTCGGGGATTTTGCCTCCACAGCATATATCTATTCTGCCGGCTACGTCGAGGGTGGCCAGTAAAACGCCCCATGTCCTATCGAACAGGGCTCGGAACTTTGATGGTGGGGAAGCTGGGATGCGGCGACGGTCTTTGACGCCGAGGAAAAACACCGTACAGAGGACTCAAAGGTAAGGAGGATATACATTGATATCCACCTCTGCACTTTGGAGCTGTCAGAATCGCAAGTCCGAGTACCTTGGAGGGGATCGCTCATTGGCCCCCTCTTTTGATCGCCCAACGCGAACCGCCCGCACGATGGAACGCCCAGCCGACCCCAAAACCCGATCAAGGGCAGGTCTTCCACACAGGACATCGAAATGCACGTGTCGCAGGGAAACGGGGGGGAATATCCGAGATATGCTTAGAACAGGGTATTCCTGGGACATGGTACCCCTTCCACCTAAACCCCAACGAGAAGGTCATGCACCGAGATCCCAACGTCGTATTTTTTCGCCAGGGTGTCTCCGGGGACGCTGTTAGGTGCTCGGCTCCGATTGGGCGGTACACGATCTCGCTTCCTAGCGGACTTAGGTTTTACCGAAGCCATCCTCAACCTTGGTTGCTGGAGGACTCGTATGCTTGTCATTTGCTATGCCAGGATGCGAGAGATTCCTTCACCTCTTAATCTAGGCTAGTCACGTGAGAGAAAGAGGGCCTGACTAGGCTTAGTCATCCGATTCCGTGTCTCGGCGTTGTTGGGACGCGTTGGTCAACTACCCGACCAACCGTGTTTCTCACCAAGGAGGGATTAAACGAGCGTATAGTTTCACACGCCGTCGTCGAAGCGTCCCGCGAGGGCAATAGGGCTTGCGCTCACTGTGATTTTACATACATCTCACATAAGTCTCAGGGTCTGGCCGGGTCTGAGAGCCGAAGTAGCAGGCAGATCCAACACATCCCAGATCTCAAGGGGAGAAGCAGTGACCCATTCGCTACCCCTTGACCTCTGTCAGCCGTGGCTGCTGTGTGGCGGGCGTGGTGGAGGAGTTACTCTGAGCCCTCCGACTTGGGTTTTATCATACATATACCCAGCGAAACGTGCCCAATACATCCCGCGGGGAATCTGACGGAATGGTCCGCCCCGACTTCCGCTGCATCACGTGTTGAGCTGAGCTTCGGCCACTCAGTCTTTGGTGCCCACGCCGTCGGAAATACACGATGGACCGCACGGAGTAATCCGTACAGCAATGATGATCTATGGTTAAGTATATCCAGCACATATTCGTCTGCGGGTTTATAGGAACAGGATTCAGAACAGAAGAGCAGTTGGCCGGTCCAAAGGCACAAATGGGCGACTCCGGGGCGTACAAGCTATTTTTGCCCCTCCACGCTTTTTGATGGACTGGTTTTAGATTTCTTTCCTGATGTGTTTTTCAACAAAGTTTGTGGTCTGTTTATTGAACTGCCTTTGAGGATTTTGCACTCTGTTGAAGGTCCCAGTCCCGCCTTGTCCACCAGTGGTAGCGTGAAAGTGAGCTGAGGAATAGCATAATGGATACCAGGGACGCAACGGAGAAGTCTGAGTAAGTTTTACTCTGTTTATTGCTTAACAAGTGACTAGAATGCCACCGAGCGATTTTAGGATATGACGGAAACGTAGCTTGGACACTGGAGGCCCCCCATGATAACGCCAACAATCCCTTACTGCAATCGGTCAAAAATTGGATGACGGACTGGATTGCAGGGATAGCTAAAGCACCAGGGTAAATCACTCGAAGCAAGTTTTACAAGTCTGCTTGTTCCGGCCCCCAAGCTTTGAAGCAGATTTTCCTTTTCTGTTTTGTGTCAGCCTCAAATCTTTTTCTATCTTCTTTCTTATTCCGCCACTCTTCAAGTCATTTAAAGGCATAGGCTAGTAGTATGCGGTTTTCAGCTCGTCATCATTCCATGAATGACCCCACTCTTCTGGATACCCTGGCACCTATATAGCAATCCTATATGGGCCCAGTTTTTCGGATTGCATCGGATGACCACCAAGATGAGGACGAGGCTATGAATGATGAACTCATAAACAGTTGTAAGCAGTGAGTCCACTGTATAGTTAATTAACCAACAAGTCCTATTATTTATTGCTATTTGCCGACAGAGGAGCTCATCATAAGAAGGTGCCATGGTTTCGTTCGAGCATCCGGTCATACTCGCAAGGAAATCAAGTCGGATCTTCAACAGACTTACCTCCACTAGACATGTCCTCCTAACCTGGTTCCAGTGCATCCACCTTGCGTGGCCCAATGATGCTTTAGCTTTCCTTCCTCTGACCTTGATTAACCCTAGTAAACAGCGAGCGTATTTAGGTTTTTGATCTACATTTCATGTATGAATATGCTATTGCAACAGGTATTTAGCAGAGATATTACAAGATATAGAATTCAATTGTAGATATTGGTGAGTATAACGTGCTACCTGTGATGTAACAAGTTGTTGTCTGGTTTCATAACCTTCACCAGGAGGAAAGGTTCAGGCAGATGGCTTGTTGCTCATCTGATGAGGGGATCTTTGACTTGCTTTGTGTTACTGCCAGACACTCTTCGCAGTGGCTTTTTGAATCATTTCCATCTCCTTGATTGGGTTCCTCTGTCTTTGCTAGGCCCACTCAAAAAGCCCACCTTCGACCGTCCTGAAGAACCGGAAATCCGCAGAAGGAAAGCTTCTGTTAGACGTAGTTGGAATCAGAAACGCCTCGCGTTGCCTGATGTCCATCAACCGGCGTTTGGGATCATAATCCACGGATTGCACCCCGTTAATCGCACTTGAAAACCCACGTCAGAAAGGTTCTTGCATCCTTTCCGGCCTCATGGAGGTTGGAGGATTTAACCTGAACACACCATTCCGCCCTCACAGATGGGGATGTTCTGAATATTCTAAATAGCCATGATTCATTTTTTCACTCCGACCACCACCAGATTTCTCGGGCTTTGCGCATACTCGAATACAGGTTCCACCCAAGCGTGTTCGACAGCTTGCTGCTCGCGCAGGAATAGCCATCGGTCGGTAACAATGATCGATTCGGCCACTCCTGCACTAAACGCCATGAGCGTCCACGCGATGCTGAGATTCTTCTTAGCATAGTGATACTTCTTCACATAGTCGTTTAAATCTTCGTCGGAGATGTCGGCGACTTTCTGTTTAATGAGTTCTCCGTACTTGGGATCGCGGATCAACTTGGATATGGCCGCGCGTGCGTAGGCAGGGAACGAGACGAAAGCGGACTTCCTCAACGACCCAACGATAAGAGCCGTTCCAGGCGTATCGCATGTAGCACTCGCTGGCTCTGAGGTGGGATTGGCGGCCTGCACTGAGCCAGGCACAGGAACAACTTCGTAATCCACAAGAATACGCTGTAAGAGAGCACGATAAAAGTGGCGGGTGAAGAACGCTTCGCTATCTTCAGTACCCCAGTTATAGGGAGCTTGGACAGCCATCATTCTCGCGGTGATATTGAGCCTGATTCCATTCCCGGCGTCATACGTGTATTCCTCCATGCGTTTCGACATCGGGAATCCATGAGGATCGTATGCTTTGGAAGTCTTTTCGAGGCGAGGATGAAGGGAGCGGAGGGCAGGAAGTTTGTAAGTCATTGGGCCGAGTCGTTCGGTCATGAGATTGTAGCAGCAGCCGATCATGGCGATGGCGACCACAGATGGATTGATAATGAGGGAGCGGATCCCGTGATGGACTAGATTACCACAGGAGTGAAGGGAGATTACCATCACCCGAGAAGGAGGACGGGGCATAGCTTTGTCATTAGGCGTGAGAGCAAGAGTTGATAAGTCAACACTATGTGGTTCATCTTGATTGACGTCCAGAACTAGTGGGTTTTCTTCCGAAGGTTCAATTACATGGCGAATTATGGGCTCTAGATACCCATCTTGGATCTCATGTTCGACGTAATGCATGCAACCAACTGCAGATTCTCCGTTTGTTCTATTGTCGCTTGCAATGGCACTCCTTTCCTGGACGACATCGACGATAATGGCCACTCCATTTTGATCGTTTGTTACACCATCCGGCGTGGAAGTTCCCGAATCCGACTTCAGCTCACCGGGGTCGATCCCTAAGAGTCTGGCCTTGTGTTCTTTCTTGTTCCTCATGGTGATGGTCTTCTTTGCTAATTTGGCGTGGACATCCTTTCCCTTTGCACTGGTAATATTATTCTGCCTTCGCTCTATGGCAATGATATCCTTGTTATACGGAGGGCTGGCAAGTGTCCTTCCGAGGTAGTTTAGTCCAGACCCGAAATCAACGATGTGAGAGACCTGTTCCCCCCGAGTGGCGTTTACATCCTCGACCAGCGTACTAACATAACGAGAGAAGTGCTCAACCTCGTGTCGCTTTTTAGGGTTCATTCCAACAGCGACACTGTGCGGAAGCTTTCCAGTAGATAGACCACCGTCGGGCACGAACTCACGCTTCAAGGAATGCCGACGAATATCATGGATATACGCCACAAGAGAGGGGGGCGGCCTCGGTCCATTTCGCCAGGTGTTGTGGTTTCCGTTCTCCCTGGATCCCGAGTCCGCGGCATCATCTTCCCGAAAAGGCCCAATATTCTCTCTCAAAAGGAGGTCCACGATGTCGCGGATTTCATGGCAGTCAAAAAATTCGCGCCAATCGGCCGGGATGATCGTGGAGTAGATATCAGGTTGCCTCGTTAAAAAGTCCAGAATATGAACACCTCCACAGAGATTGGACCATAGTACGGAGGAGGTCGTAAATGACAAAAGAGATTTCACATAACTGTCTGGATCTTCCCACTCGTCAGCGAGGGGGAGGGGTTTCTTGGGTATCATGACTTTGAAACCAGACCAAAAAAAAAAAAAAAAAAAAAAAAAAGAAAAGAGCTTTAACCGGCCAGTAGCCTCCGGGAGAAGCACTAGAAGAATGTTGGTCGTCCAGGAAAAAGGAAATCTCACGGAGCCAGCTCTTCCAATTTTCCCAATAGTCACTCCAGGCCTCGTCTCAGGATGCGAAAGGACGGATGCTTCAGTATTTAGTTAAACCTTTTCGGTGCCTGACTGCCGCCAAGAAACCGCTTTCGCTGCCAAGACCGGGCGCCGACTGCGGGCATCGTCATTAACGCTCAAGCTGTCAACAATGGCAATTGGCCGAGCTGACTTCTTTTGAATGATAGCAGCCATCCAGCGCAGAGAAACATAGAATACCAGACTTACCAGCTCCTAGCCATTTCTCATAGATCATCTCGTGATATCCTAGAATTGTCCACCATGAATCCCGACGACAACGACCCCTTCCTCCAAGTTCAAGCGTACGAAACCTTTTTCCCTCCTAAAGAACCGCCCTAGAAAGGCACTGTCTTAGACAATCAAGTCTGAGCGGCGTGATGCTAACCCAACCCTCCACAGAGACATCCTCGCCACCCTCAACACTACGCGCCCCCTCTTCTCCTCCTACCAACGCATCCGCTCCCTCGCGACCAAACCCAACAACCCCGAACTCCTCCAGGCTCGCGAGGAACTCCAATCCACCCTCCACGAACTGAGCACAGACCTCGAAGACCTCGTCGACAGCGTCCGCGTGGTAGAAAACGATCCCTACCGGTATGGCATCGAGCTTGATGAGGTCGAGCGACGGCGGAGACTCGTAGAGGATGTGGGTCGGGAGATCGAAGGGATGAGGGAAGGATTGCAGAAGACGGTTGCTTCGAATGCAGCTACCGCCGGAAGGGAGGCGGGGGGTAAACGCGTCCCAGCAGATATCTCCGGCGGCGGCGGCGGTATTGGTGGAGAAGGAGGAGGAGGAGGAGGTGGTGCGTTGCCCAACCCGTCTGATTTCGATCATCTGCTTGATGAGGACCGCGATGAGGATTATTATGCGGAGCTGGAGCACCAGAGACAGTTGGAAATGATGCAGGAGCAGGATCAGCAGCTTGATGGCGTGTTTCGGACCGTAGGCAATCTGAGACAACAGGCAGATGATATGGGAAGAGAGCTAGAAGAGCAGGCAGAGATACTGAAGGATGTCGACACTCTTGCGGACCGAGTGGGTGGAAAGCTACAGAGCGGAGTAAGGCGAGTAGGACATATAATCAGGAGAAACGAGGGTAAGTATCTGCCTACCGTGCACAGGGTCTCCGAGATCACATCCGGAATAATCGGGGGATTTCTCTGCTAACTGCATTCTTATTGCAAGATACGATGTCAAGTTGCTGCATTGCAATTTTGATTATGGTTTTGATCCTGCTATTAATTTTGGTCATCGTGCTTTAAAATTACACCCAAATATCAGAACCAAAAAAAAAAAAAAAAAAAAAAAAAGACAAAAAGACAAATTAAAAAAAGGAAAAAAAGGAAAAAAAGGTAACTAAAGATGGAAGAATCAACAAAATCACGTCTTGACCTTCTTGCGAGGACGCGCCAGCTCATCCTCGGATTCACCATCCTCGTCATCGCCCTCCACATCCTCCACGTCGATATCGGAATCCAAATCGAAATCAGGGACGATCTCGTAGGATTGAACTACGCATGTTAGAAAAGCGCGCCTCGAAGAGAACGGATGTCGGGTTTGTTCTTACCATAGTATTTCAGAGCGTTGGGCCAGAGGTCTTCGCTGAGTGAGACCGCCAGCGACTCTCCGTCGGGGAAAATCTCAGCCTCTTCCAGCGTATCTTCCTCATCTTCGTCCTCTTCCTCGTCTTCCTCTTCGTCAAATAGCTCCTCGCCTTTGATGATCTTCTCCCACTTCTCCTCATCCTCTTTGATAGCGCGGGCGGACTCTTCGGCAGAGACATCCCCACCACGATATCCGAACCAGGCGAAGAAACTCAAACCCATAGGGCTGCTTTCACCCTCCTCATCGTCCCCTTCGCCCTCGTTGGCGACCTCAGCCTCGATCTTGGCGACCTTCTGCACCAACGATTCGTATTCCTTCAACTTCAACCGATCCTCGTTTGAAACCTTGGTCTTGTTCTCCTTCTTCATCAAAGCTTTTTCGGCCTCTGCTAGGTCGCACGCAGCATCCAACAATCCATCGGTAGGATCCATCCCTTCCTTCCACTTAATCCTCACGGGGTCGGAGACCATTCCCTCGCGGACCCTCTTCTTGCCACTCACGGTGGTGAGAATCTCCTTCCGCCAATAAAACTCCTTCACCAGCTTATCGTTTTCGAACCAGACGTTCTCGCCATTGTCGAACTCAAAGGTGAAGCGGACGGTGCGCGGCTCCCCTTCGCCTTTCTCGTTGACCTCGAAGCGGTCGAGGGTGATGTTCTTCAGGCAGGTGCTGATTATCTGCGCGTCAGATGGACGGATGTATTCGTCGATGTCGGCGGGAGCGTTCGCGAACACGCGCGGCCAGAAGTCCACGTGTTGGAGTTTGGAGGTCACAAGGGCGTTGCGGCGGGCGTACAGGGGGCGCATTAAGGGAATGGCCTGGCGAACTGTTTCAATCGAGATGCAAGAAATAGATTGTCAGTTTTTTTCCCTTTTTTTTTTGCCATCACAGACTTTTAAAACGGCCCTTTCATCTTTCCCGTCCATCCCTTGCTTCACCGCGGCAAAATGTAATCATATATACATCTATATATTGCTCCGTATAGCAAATGATAGAATCATTCCACCAACACAGAGGCAACATACTCCATCCTGGAATCATACACATGTGTATATAGAAAAAAAAAGAAAAAAAGAAAAACCCTCCACAAGAAAAACAAGAAAAGCAACTTTCAGAAGAGAGAACAATAAAAGGGAACAAGAATATACGTACGCATGCGAACCTCAGCATCCGAGAACTCGCGTTCCAGGAGGGCGATGTCGCGCCTCGCTTCCTTGGGGACGGTGGGAAGCTCGGGCATTTCGGCCCTCTCGAGGAGGGGGACTTGTTCTGAGTCTGAGGACATCGTTTCTCTCTCTCTCTCCCTCTTCTCTCTCTGTCTCTCACCCTTGGGGTATTGTGTTTTTTTCTTGGAGGGGAAGAAAAAATAGAGGAAAGAAGAACAAAATATGAGAAGTGAGCTCTCTCCGTGCAAAGACTGATTGAAGTGAGAGATGATAGGATTCAAAAGAAGCGGGAAAAAAGAATTAAAAAAAGAAAATTAATTTGCGATGGATGGGGATTTGCCTGGGGTTGCATGAAACGAAAAAAAGCTTCCCTCCCACACTAACTCTACCAGCTAGCTTGAGTTTTAGATTTTTTTGCTGCTGGGCTTGTCAGAGCTTCTTCCACGGGTTTGGGGCGGTCAGGAAGGTTTAACTCCTTGAGCTCTGCCCTAGCTAGCGCCTCCCGGGGCCTGGCTTGGCGCACAACTTTCTCGCTGCTCCTTGTGCCTTTTTCTTTTCTTTTCTCCTTTTTCTTTTCTCTTTTTTTTTTTTTTTTTTCGCGGCGCCGGTGTGAAAGTTGTTGCTTTGGGACGGGTACTTGCAGGCTTGAACTCGGCCTGCAGGATGCAAAGGCTACACGGAGTACCTTTGTCCAACATTCCCCCCAGGTGAAATCTCGTCCACTATGGTCAACCAGGGGCGCCTTTGGGAATAGAGCTGATTATTCTGCAACGATAGTATTATTATATGTAGGAACTAACTCTTACTTTAGTTACAAGGGGTGCTGATGTACGAAATACGGGGTAGATACAAGAATAGGTTCAAAGAAGATTCAATTCGTAATTCTTTTCAGCATTTTTGCCCCTGAAATTCAAGGGAAATCATAGATATGGTATCATGCCATATCACTTGCTTTTAAATAGTACACTTGAAACGGGACCTACGCCCATCCCAAGTGGTCACGCAGCCATCACTGCTGCCGCCAACGAGCGGTCAATAGAGAAAGAACGCCCGCCCGACCAGGTTAACATATTTTAACCGTCAAAAGAACGGATGTACTCCGTAAAAAGCGGCGTATCGTATGCGTAATTTAGTTATTCGTCGGCCTCAAAACATCCAATCCAATCCGTTAGCTTCCTCTTCCACGGGGAATGCCTCACGCGCGTATTCCTCCATGCTCCTCCACCCTTCCCATAGAGTCCTGGCTTCATCGACAAGCGGCAGTGCCACCACGCCATCTTGATCGGGCTCCGGAATAATCGTCTTACCGGCGCGTGGACCGGTGGTGGGATGGTTGAACTCCGGGTTCGGGAAGAAAGGAGCGCACATCTGCCCGAACAGTACCTCGATGCCTTCGAGCTGCTCGCGGTATCCGGTGGGCACGGAGACCCTGATCTCGATTTTGGGAACGTGGACGTATGTGCAACGGCGGTCGAGAGCTCGGGAGAATGCGTCGCATACTTGTCTTGGCGTTAACGTCTCGAACGACATGGCAATCCTGATTGGAAGTGAGATGGTTAGATGGGATAACAAGACAATGGAGGGGGGGGGAAAAAGAAAAGTGACGAAGAGTGCGCTCACCGGTGACCGTTCCACTTCTTCGGCCCATCCTTGAATATTTGCAGAATTGTAGGCCCCACGTCGTGTTCGGCGTCCAGCCAGGGAAGCGGGATGTCGGGATGGAAGGGAGCGCGCCATTCAAACCCACCGTCGGCCATCAGTTCCATGCAGAAAAGCGGATACGGAAGGCTGGTGAAGTTGTTGTTGTAGATACCGGCGTACACAAAGGTAGCAGGGAGACCGAGCTGGCGCACATAGTTCTCCACGGCGAACTTGCAGCTCCAGAGCGGTAGACTGGGCCAATGCGGATTGTAGATGGAATGGTCGGGCATACTGCTGTAGATGTAGTGCTGAACCGTGCCCGCTCGTTTAGCGGCATCGGCGAGCGCTCGTCCGATCGCCACCTCGTCGCCGGCTTGCGAAGTGGTGTTGATGAAGGCGAGCTGCGCGCCTTCGAACAGCGAGTTCATGAGGGCGTCATTGTTCAGGAGGGGGCCCTTCAAGAGCGTCACATTGGGGAGATTCTTAAGTTCCTGCGGTATGACTCCTTCGAGGGAATGTATCTGCGCTCGCACGTGGTAACCGACGGCGGAAGCAACGCGGATAAGCGATGCTGCTTGACGGCCGGCAGCATTAACAACGGCAATCGTCTTCGTTTGTGTCATTCGGATTCTGTTATCAAGAGGCGTTCCGGGAATTCGACGGCGGGGGAGGAGGAGGAGGAGGAGGAGGAGGAGGTATGAAGACAATCTCGAAAGTCTACGGCGGGAGAGGGGGAGCTAGAAGAAGCAGAGCGGAGGAAACGGTCAGTGACAGAAGTAGAGATTGGAAACAAGCATGCAGGCATTACCAGATCACTAGGGATTAAAGGGTGAATGCCAAAGGCTGTCTGGTCTGGTTCGGGAGGTCCTCATCAACAACAACAACGCCGGTCAAGAAGGAAAAAAAAAGAAGGAAAAAAAAAAAAAAAAGGAAAAAAGGGCACAATAGGTCCTCTCTTTATCCTTTCCTTTTCTTTCTTCCCTTTTCTTTTCTTTTTTTTTTTCTTCCCTTTTTTGTTTTCAGGTTGTTCGGGTTTTCAACCCAGCTATCCAATGTTTAAGGCGACAAAACGGCGGGGTGTGAGGGAGACCGATGTGGCATGAGAAGGAGGAGGATGATGGCCGGGAGCTATCGAGACGGCGGGGGTGGAGGAGCGGAGGAAGCATTCAAGCCATAGGCCGGAGAGGTGACAGGTCGGAGAACCGAGGGGGAGAAAAGCGTAATTAATAGACGAGCAGGACGGCCGCGAGACAAGACAAGATTTTGAGGACCTCCTTGCCCCAGCGTTTGTGTGGTGAAGAATGGTGAAAGGTCAAGTGATGGACGGAGCTGGACCTTGTAGGTGAAATAATGGACTAAATAGTTGGAGGGGTGTGGATTCGACAGGACGGCTAGCAAAGCGGGGCTCAGCGAAAGGGGGGAAGAAGTTAAAAGAACCGACTTTCTTCTTCTTCTTCTGTTTCTCTCTGTTTCTCTCTCTCTCTCTATATATATATATATATATATGTGTGTGTGTGTGTGTGTGAAATACTGCACTAGATGAAGAATGTTACATATGGCAAAGGCGAGGGGTTTGGGCTCGCGATATATCTATCTCCCCTTGTACTTGGCAGTTCATAGATAGGGGCAAAATAACATGATATGGTTTCTGTGACGCTGTCTGAGAAAAAAGCTTGATAACTCTTTACACAGACAGGGTTTTGGAGCCCAAAAAAAAAATAATAATAATAAGAATAAAAATAAAAATAATAAAAATAAAAATAATAATAATAATAATAACAATACTCTTGTGTGTACGGAGTACCTACGGAGTACCTGATGTACCTGTATAGTTAATTGGAATGTAATGCATGTCCGTGCCTACTTAAAATGTGTGCAAGGGATTGGGGGGTCGAGACTGCCTGCGAGAGGGTCCTGCCTGCCCCGGGGGGGAGCGCCAAGTTTGTATGTGGGCGGGAAGGTGCCTTCTTTGGCTCCTTGGCTCTTTCTCTTCTGTCTGGTGGGGCTTCCTGCTCTCTTTTCTTCTTCTTCTCCTCCTTCTTCTTCTGCTGCTGCTGCTGGTGGTGGTCTGCGCCTGCCCACTTCTTGATGAGACCTGAACTGGAACTGCGCTTGCCGGTTTCGGGCTGCCGAACTCCGTCGACCAATCAGCGTGCGGCGATAACGGCCGGATGGGCTGGTCACCTGCAGTGCGGAAATAGTCTTTATCCGGCCCGGCGCGGGAAACTCAATTCTATCGCCGTGGCAAAAAAAGAGGAAAAAAAGAAAAAAAAAAAAAAAAAAAAAGTTAAGGAAAAAAAGAACCGACTTCGCCCCGTCAAGAGAGTATGAATCAAAAAAAAAAAAAAAAGGCAAAAGAAAAGATATTGGAAGAAAAAAAAAAAAGAGTGCTCTGTATATGAAAAACTCTTGCCTCAGCGACTCGGGACGGGAAAGGCTGTCTCGTGACTGCTGAGGGAGAGTTTCTCTGGCGGCCATGGCGTCCGGAGTGCCACCCTCTGGCTGCGCTGTCACCAGGGAATTCCCTCTCGACGCCCCGTCTCGTCACCGCGATCTGGACCTTCATTATTAATATTATTTTTAGACACGCGGATGGGCTTTGGTCCAGAACACCCCAAACTCCGTTCCCGGGCGACAGACAACGGGGGGTCTCAAATCTCAACTCAAACCCAACTCAACCGAACCGCCCGGGGGGGGAGGGAGGTGCCAGCTGACCTGGAAGAGTTTTGGAACGCCTGTCGCGCTGGTGCTGCGAACAAGTCAAGCTTTGGGCCCCCGGAAAACTCTCTCCCCAGGAAAAAAAAAAAAAAGGGATGCGCCCCCGGGAATTCCCTCAGCAGCACGGGAGAACATCGCTTGTGTAGACATATATACATACTACATACATACTACATGCTACATGCTACATGCTACATGCTACATGCTACATGCTACATGCTACCGTCCGACATGATCGATAGCGAGTTAACTAGTTATCCCACCCTCCTTTACGTAACTTGAACCACGCATCCCAAAAAGCAACTTCTCTCTCCCTCACTCTCCTGCGTGCCCACCGCTGCTCTGGACGTTCTTCGTCTCACTCATGCACCTCGATCAATCGGGTGAGTTTTGGCTGCCCTTGTCTCCCCTTGACCGCTTGGCCAACACGTGTCGCCCCCGGTTATTTTTCGACCAGTCGTCTTCCCGCCCGCATGTTCCCTGGACCTGCTCGCCCAATGATCGGAAGGGGGAGAAGCTTCGACGAGTAAGAGGTCTCCCGGTCTGCAAACACATACACACACACACACACACACTCTCTCTCTCTCCTTTTTTTTTTTTTTTTTCCTCCCATCAATTCTTTCTTGCGTGTATGCCGTAACCGAGCATTGTACGGACGGGGTACAAATGATGATCGTCTTACGAATCACGCCCCAGAGAACAAAAAGAGGGGGGGGGGATCACCAGATAATTAACCGGCGATGTGTGCGACGGTAGGGAAAGGCCCAGCAACCTGGGCTTTTTTCTTTTTTTTTTTTGCCTCAGCAAATCATCAATGACGCTGAGACGGTTAAACCGTCACTCGCATTGGCTGCGAGGGATGCGATATCAGTTTCCTTCAGTTTTCTATTGTGGTGTTTAAAAGTCCCATCTGCCATCGAACATATCAACTATCAGACCGTCTATTTTTTTTGACTAGTAAGTATATACATCATCTTGGCCTGATAGCATTCGAAAAGCGTCTGGATACCGCATTAGGCCCATACGCCATATCTTCTTGATAAACCTCTTTAGGTTTGGGTCTAAGATAAAATATGCCAACCCCCCTGATCTGCGCTATCTCCGTTCATGTAGGAACCGACGCGTTACCATTCGTCTTTCTCTCCCCATTTGAATCGGATTCCCCCTCCATTCGGTTCACCACTTTCACGTCAACTCCTGCCAGCGTCCATATATCTGGTCGTCCGCGGGCGTGTAACTCTGCGACACCTCGCTCATCCTCGTGCAGGTGCGCTCCGGACTCCCGTAGTAAATTGACATGGTCGATCAGTCCCGCGTTGGCGGCCAGAAACAACGGCGTGCGCCCTGCATAGTTGCGCAGATGAACAGAGCCGCCGTGGAGGAGAAAGTACCTCAAGATGCCAAGATTGGGCGAAGTGGCAGCGAGGTGCTATTAAAAAGAAAAAGAACAAACCAAAAAAAAGGTCCCAGGTTAGCCGAATGTGGAAAAACGTGTATATCGAATACCGGAAAGAAAGAGGGGGGAGCGATATCAAATCTTACCAATGGTGTGTTCCCAGAATAATCTGCATCGTTAAGAATCCAATCCTGCTCCGTTCGCATGATTTCTTTTACCTTCTCCAAGTTCCCCTGGGCAACTGCATAACCAAGCGCCGCCAGATTCTTTATCCGATCAGGCAGCGTACCGTCAGGATGTCTGAACACGGGATGTGAGTGCTCCGTGAGTTCACCCCGAAGGGAGATCGACATATCTCGAGCGACAGACTGCGGCGTCGTGTCGGGCACCCCTAGCAAGAACGCGAGCTTTGTGAGAGCCGCCTCCGTGGTCATGTCTAATCCTGCAACCACACCCGCCCGTGATAAAGTCATTCCCGGAGCGTATACAGGGCTCACGCTCCCAGATAAGCCTAGACCAATATACATTAATATCGTCTGTTAAATGTGGAATGTTTCAAAAAAATGAAAATAAATAACAAAAATAAAATAAAACGAATAAACCTACACTGAGTCACATTCACAATGACAATTCCACGGTGAATAGCATCAGCAAGCACCTTGGTCATGGCGTTGTCTTGTCCTCCAGGTGCGTTCCCGGCGCCAAAGGTCTCCAGCACCAAGCCGCGTAATCCAGGTAGTCGAAGCACCGCATCAACCATCTCAGGCTTTATACCAGGGAATATCCTCAAGCACGCCACATGCGTCGTATCTAGGTTCATCTGGATGCTGAAATGTTTAATAGTAGTAGGCTTATGCACCTGTTCCCACTTTACGTGCGTCCGCATCGACGTCGTCACAGCCAACGGAGGGAAATTCGGCGATGCAAAGGCCGCGAAATCGCTCGCTGCAACCTTGGTTGCTCGAGTTCCACGGAAGAGATTATGATTAAAATACAAGCACACTTCCGGAATCATAAAATGACCTGCGATGATCAAAGATCCGAGTAGATTATCTGTTGCGTCGTTCTGGAGCTCCAGCATCGGCGCCTGCGAACCCGTGAGGATGACCGGTTTGCCCAGATTCTGGAACATGAAGCTCAGCGCGGAGGAGGTATACGCCAGGCTGTCGGTGCCATGCAGGACAACGAAGCCGTCGAAGAGGGTGTAATTCCAATAGATAGTTCTCGCGATCTGCGCCCACCCTTTTGCGTCGATCGAGCTGCTATCTAGCAACTCCTCGAACTCGTACACGGCATATCGGACCCGCGCGTCATATATGCTTAAAGGGGTGCGCAGCGTAGGGTAACTCTTCCGCTCGCCAGATGCGTTGATGACTACGTCGACTGGCCCGGGATTCGAGCCGTCGTTGAACGTTGAGGATGGACGAAGAGCGGCGTCTTGGAAACCCCGGGCTGGGACAAACCCGGACGAGGAACGGCGCATGCAGATTGTGCCGCCCGTCATGACGATGAGGACGCGGGATTCGGGGCAGAGGCCATGTGCCCTGAGTTGGTCTTGGTCCTGCTCAACCGTCATGGCTTCGAATGAACCGCTCGCTTTGTCTATGTCGTAAGGCATTTTGTTTGGGCGATGACACCTAACCGAACGGCTCTAGCACACAAGCAACTGCTTGCTCGCGGGTAAAAAAGCCTTCGTCTGATACCAAAAACAAGCAGATGGCGAGTCCTTTTGCTGTTCTCTCTCTCTCTCTATCTCTGTGTGTGTATATGTGTGTGTGTGTCTCAGACAATTGGCTCAAGTGACGAAGACTGAATGAGATCAAGTTCATAGAACTTGCTGGAGTAACCAAGATAAGCTTATAGAGAAAAGAGTGAGGGGATCACAGATAGTTAACCAGACCCTTGAACGGAAAGCATGTAATTATATCTCAACTATATGCTGTGCAGTCCGTAGGAAAGGCAAAATGGATATCTCGCCGTAAAAGGAGTGGCGTCTCGTGGCAGGAAGAAGTGAAGTGAATTGAATGAGAACTAGAGAAAGTCTGCTCCTCTTTTTTTTTTGAAGTTATTATTTTCGCTTCTCAGAAAAAGTTCTGCACCAGAGTCCCTTTTGCCGCAAATATCCATGTATTGCCAGCTCCACATCAGGAAGCGCGTTAGGTCATAAGTGGTTGCTGGTCGCATGCAAATGCCTAGTTTTGGTGTGTCAGACAAATGAGCCTTTTTTTAAAGTTCCACAGAAAGAGGAACATCCAGACTTACCATCATGTCCTCCTAGAGAATCACATCTTATTGTGAACGGAGCTGTTATGTGCTGTTCTGGAGCATAGCGAACAATCAACAGAGAAGAAGAAGAAGAAGAAGAAGAAGAAGATGATGATGATGATGAAGTTAATTCCTTTCTTGGGCGACAGATTCATCAGCTGTCATGCCTGGATGTTCGCTGAGTCGTCCTGTTCTCGGCGACGGCATGCTCTAGCACGCTGAGTCGCCCCTTTTTCGATACTTAAGGCCTGACATGATTTCCAGATTCTCAGACAGATCTCTTTCTGCAAGAAAAGTACTCTCAAAGGCATTTCCGTTTTGTTGCAGAAGTCCTGTCTGTGAGCTGAGCTACTTGGCTTCCATAGCAGCATGGATTCTACCCCTGCACTCCCAGAAGACTGGGCGGACTCATATCCGGACAAGCAGCAGTTAAAGTCACTTGGAATTGCTGCTCTGATAATAATTATCGTTTTTGCCATTTGCATGATGCTGTCTAAATTTTGGGTTCAAAGAAAGCCAGTCGAGCCTCCTCCGCCTATTACCAAGCTCCCAATCGATATTGTCCTCTGTGTCTCAGATTATCTTTCCCCGATGGACAAGCTTTGCTTTTCTTTGAGCTGCAAATCAGCCTGGAATGCCTTGAACGGCGTTCAGAACTCTTCCAAGTTTGGGCACCCTATGAAATTCAGCACCTCCTCCTTTCCTCATAGCCGTGATCACAATCTGAGATCTGGATATTGGCAATTACTGCGCCGCTTGGAGGATTCTCGCTTCAGATGCTGTGCAGGATGCCTCAAACTACATCCAGTTAGCGAGTTCTCAACGCGCGACCTCGCCACAGTCGCAGATCAACGTACTTGCATGTTTGGCTCGCTGGTTGGCGTGATTCCCCTTTGTCCTTGCATCCAACTCACTTTTCGAACCAAACTCAAACTTACCGCTCAGCTACGAAAGTCAGCTATCGCAAACAAAACCACTGACGGCTTAGACACAGACGCCGTTTTCCTATCTGACTGGCATGAGTGCCGATACACTCAGGGATCAACGAAAGTCCATGCTAGGCACACTCCGATGTTGAATCAAGACGGGCGTTTGGTTATTACCTCTCACTATACCGTGGATGCCAGAAGGAAGCTTGCCCTCGTTGACTTCCCAGGATTCTGCTGCCCTCACCGGACCATATCTGCCCTCGTTCTTGCTTCGTTGGATTCGTCATCTAAAAACGATTTCTCCTGCAAGTGGTGTGGGACTAAGATAGTGAACTGTTCAGGCCCTTCTGGGGATAATTTCGTGTTAGAAACTAGTAGAGTGCTGGGGAAGAGTGAGGACGTGGCTGATCAGGAATGGCATCTGCAAACTACGGGTGCGTTTGAGCGATTTGATATCCTTGGCCCGCGGCGCCAATGGCCGGGTAGATCGTGGGATGACATAGACGACAACTGAGGGCTTTCTTTATGGATGGGGAAGGGTGGGTGCTAAGAGACTTAAAGATCAATTTCTGGGGCTTGCATGTCCTCCAGTTTTGGCCTCAAGAATCCTCGGTGTTTTGCACTTTTGAGTGGTGGAATAAGTGAAGGATGGAAAAGGGGGAAACAGAAGGGAAAGAGGGGCGCCAATCGCACCCTTATTTATTTTATAAATTTGGCCTTAGAGATAGACAGAATCCATTCAGGGTCATTATATCCACAAGAAATCCATATACGGTGTTAGAGGCGTGGCCCTGTGACATTGTTTACAGGTGTCAATAGCTTCCCATCTCCCCGGAAGAATGCCTCGATATTGTCCATTGCTATTCTCTCAAAGTTCTAAAAACTTGTTGTTAGTGAGGCTTGTATCAGAAAAAAGTGATTTAATCGAGCACGTACGAGATGCGTGTCAAGACATGCACCGCCGATATGCGGCAGCAAGGTGATTTTCCAGTTATCTAGTAATCTGGGATTGACGGTGGGCCTGAAAAGTTCGAGTGTTAGCATCGCAACCGGCCAAAAAACAGATATTCGTGGGTCAGCGTACTCGTCATGATAGACATCTAAACCAGCTCCCACGACGATACCCTCGTCAATAGCATCTGCCAATGCTTCTTCATCAATGCACTTGCCTCTGGCAACATTGACTACCCTCACCCCTCTTTTCATCAACTTGAAAGTATCTTTATTTAACAGATGATGCGTCTCTGGGGAATGCGGACATGCGAGCAGCACACAGTCCGCAACCTTTAGCAGGGACTCTAACGTGGCATGATATTCCGCGACACCAGCTTCTCGCTCTACCTTCGGCGACTTTCGTGTTCGACTGAAGTAATGTATTTTCATTCCCAGCGCTTTTGCTCGTACAGAAACCGCACGTCCGACCTCTCCCATACCCACAATGCCCAGAATCTTATCGCGTGGATTAACCGAGGTTGGGGCCACCGCGTCCTCTACGGCGAAGTAGTCTCCCTTGCGAGTTGTACGCAAGTTATTCTCGCAAAAGCTGGTATAGCGAAATGCAGCTATGATGAGGAGCAATGCAATATCTCCCGTGGAGTCGTTCGCTGCTCCAGCACCGTTACAATACCATATCCCTCGACGACCAAGTTCTTCCGTGTCCTCTCGTTCATAGCCGTGATTCGAAGATGAAATAATCTTCAGCGACAGAGGAAGATGGGAAATGAATTCTTTATTGAAGCGCGGGAGGTTGTTATTACCGGTATGGCAGGGCCGAATGATCCCATCTATCTGGGAGTACCTGCCACCAGGTTTCAAGGAGGCGAGGAGATCTTCCTTTGTAGTACGTGTATAGGTTAGGATGTTGAAGTTCTCGCGGAATCGGGCCCATCTCTCGCGGTTAGGTCCACGGATCGGTTCGCCGACATAAAGCAGCGTCGGTTTCTTGGTGTTGTTGGCGCTGGACATCGTTCTGGCGGGTTGTCTCGAGGAGAAGATAGAGGTATAGAAATGCAAGCAACGCATCCGCTTTCAACGGGTGTCAAGTTCTCACGGTCAACAACGTTTTTGACGGACATCTGCTCATTGCAGCCCCCCATTTCCTCGAATTCAACGAACCGGCCTTTAATGAGTCGACAAAAGGGCGTGCGCTAAATATCTTCCACTCTAGTTGAATGCCGAGCCGCGAGGCCCACCCTGCTACCGAGATGGAGCGAGGGCCGGACCGAAGGGCGTCGAATCATGATGCAATCCGTAGAGCTATCGGCAGAGACTCAAACGCGGATGATGCGACCGACGAGGTGTGTCGGCCCCTTCCGATTGACAGCGTTCGGCTCGTCTTTGTCGACTGTTTGGAGCGATCCCGGTTTCCGCTTGCTGCTGAGTCAGCCCGTTTCCTCGGGCCGGATATCGCGACAGACTTGATAGTTATCACGCCTGTCGAGATCGTGGCTCGAGTAGGGACCTGAGCAGAGATTTGTGGGCAATACGCTGGATTCAAAAAGAACGGCTCTGAGCGAACCGAGCCACTGTGGGAAGTTGTTGAGAGTTTCATAACGCTTCAGAAAAAAGGCCTTGATAGTTCCCACATTCGTCAACGATCCAAGCCTTCGACGTCACCTTATCCAAAGACCTTCGTGTGTCCAGGGAAAAGGAATCAGAAGATGAAATTGATCCAAGAAGCAGATCCTTTGTTCTCATCTGCCATAATTTAGTCCTGTTTAACTAGATTGAAAGGAACTTCCAGCCCATTTCTCCCCCTTGTCGAGTTGAAAACCACGCCGGCTCGGTCCATATCCTTCCATGACACAAGCTACGAATGGAGCCAGCACCAGACGACCTGATCAAGTACATCCCTCCTAGCGCTAAATCCTCTCTCCTCGCGCGCAAAATCGCCTCCATTGAAGTCGTCGCCCACGAAAAGCTCCCCAACGGCGGCAACCATTGGGCCTTCTACCTCCACACCATTCCCTCCACTACTACATTTTCTGAATCACACTCAGAAAACGACCACCAAATAATCCAGTTCGACGTCTCCCCTTCCCACTCCATCCCCTCTACCGTCCTCTCGGGTGGCTCAAAGGCCTTTCTCATCCTTTCCACAAGCCCTCACTCCCTCTCCAATTCTGGCACATTTACAAAACGCCTCCCGCTGACCGTACGCCAGAAGCCTGTTCTGCCCACCGTCCAGGAACTCGTGCACCTGTTGACTGTCAAACAACATCGCCATAAATACGAGTTTGATGACCAAGGACGCGGGTGCCGGTTTTGGGTGCGAGACCAGATTCCATACTTGCTCGATGAGGGGATAATAATTGACGAAGAGCAGGCGGAGTCCGCGCGTGAGGCGGTCTTGTTGGAGTTTCCGGGGGGGAAGGAGTTCCCAGTAACGATAGGGAGATATTATTAGTCTTTATTTGCTTTTTTTTTTTTTTTTTTTCCTCCGGAAGCAAAGACCTTAGGTTGAATACCAAGCCTTTTAAAACAGGGGGATACTAGCTGGCTACTTTATATTTGACACAGTAAAGTAACTATATCGGTGTTACATCACAAAACTCTACTCCAAGAGTGTTTCCCGCAATATATTAAAAGTATCATGCTACTGTGGACATGTGGGCGTATCGGTTAATGACTGGAGTGCTGTGCCCCCCAGAGGGGACCAAGTCTCGTGTCCTTATCTCGCTGCCTTTTTTTAATTTTTTTTCTTTTTTTTTTTTTTTGGTGTTTCACGTTAATTTTCTCGGAAAACCCCATGTGATAAAGAAAAGAGGAGTGAGAAATTGCTAGCAAGAGCAATGTAACCATCAATTACCCGGTTGAAGAGGTCTGTTGAATGCTCCAAGCCAGCGCATAGGGTAAGACATTCGCGTAGCACTGCGACGGCCCTAGCTACGAGCGGTGTGGCCATGCTGGTTCCTGCTAGGAACCAGTAATTCGGATCATCGCTGTGCCCCAATCGTTCGCCCGGGCTCAAAAGATTGTGGGAGCGAGTGGAAAGGATACCAGTTCCGGGGGCAACGGCATAGGGTTTGATGCGCCTCCTTTGTAAGCCCTCGACTGCTGAATGCGGCCATTCCATCTGGGTGGTTAGCCATCAAATCATTACTAAGTGGCGATGCTGGCTACCGACTGCCATACTTGATAGGAATGTTCGGGCGGCGGTTCTCGCTTGCGCCGACGGTGATGCAGTTCTTTGCAGCTGCTCGAGAGCCGATCGTCGATGACTCCGTTGCGATCTATATCCATACCGTCATTGCCCGCAGCAAATAAAACCACAATATCAGGATGTTCCCAAACGAATCTATCGATCTCAGAACTACTTGCATCATGGGGCAGCTGGCGTCCTGAAGTCGACCCCTAAGCCTTGATATGAATCCTTGCATTGTCCTCATTGTACGGCTGAATGAAGAGCTGGGTTAGATCATCAGGAATACCTCCCAGGTTTCCGCGACCGTCAAGCAGTGACTGAACGACGAGTGTGGATTTCGCTGCGATCCCACGGATTCTGCCGCCCATCGATTTAGAATTCCCGTCTCCGAGAACTGAGCTACGGACTTGTGTGCCATGCCCGTCTGGGTGACCAGTTTTACCTGAGGTTGACCTTCCTAACGGGTATAGTTTCTTCACGCGTCCAGTAAATGCTTCATGTACATCTTGGGTGCTTCCTTTGTCGAATCCAATATCGGCAACGGCAACTACCTAACCCTCACCTTCGTACGCCGTTCCACCGAGTTCAACCTCGCCATTCACGATCTTCACAGCTACATTGTTAAACAATTTGACGGATATACTTTTTATATGAGGCGCACATCATCTATTGCAGCTAGCCCTTCAAGGTACTGTTCTTGGACTGCAAGTCGAACCTTATGAGGGCCTATATCCAGATCGTCAGCATCGACATGGGCGGCAGTCGCAAGGGCGATCCTAAGATCCTCGGCGTGGGTGTCGACGTCATGGTGGAATAACATCCACCTTATGGACCTGACTTTATTGCCGTACTGCCGGGAATGCTGACAAAGTTTGAGTTGTGGGAGCCGCAGATTTTAGAGTGGGCTGGATGACACATATTCGTGAACCACAGCACCCAGCGTTTCGAGCTGGTCCTCTTGCTCATCAGGTCTGGATTAAGATGTAGTTGGATTGCGATGCATCTTCCGACTCTAGACTGAAAGCCCTCAAAATAGGCCGTTGAGTTTCGGGATCAACTTCATTCCCGATAATGCAAATGACAGGCATGATGGTAAAACAGCCTGATTTCTCAAGCAAGGGCTATCAGGGGCAATCAAGACCGAAGAAGTCCCGAAAAGTGATGGCATCAATGCTCCGCAAAGATGTAAAGAGAAGAGCATACGGTGAAAAAGTGAAAAATAAATTGAGGGAATAGAGGGAGCCTTTAAGCTGCAAGATAACCGCAAGTGCAATAAAGAGTGATGGGTGACCGACGTGGTGGCTGGACGGGGTCAGCTCGATATCCGAATAAGGAAGATATCGTCTTTCAAATAGAGGCCTTGCTAAACGAGGCTTCAACTGGCCTCGGTTGGCCGCAACGCGGCGTAAACAAACTCATCAAGGGAAAAGCTCCGAAACAGCCAAAACGATTGACTGAGAATCTTGATATTTTGGCTCCAAGGCGGCACGCTCGTCATATCTCGGGAACGATGTATCCCCCCAAGATCGCCGCCCATCCTGATTCGTCAGGCAGCTACTCGCACCCATAGCTTTAGAGACAGAAATGAAAATCTGGAGCTGGGAGCCAGTGTTGGCCAGATATCACGCCATTCTTGCGCAAGCAATGCATGAGGACACCAATAAGGCTGAAGGCTGAGTTAATGGTCAGGGCGGCAGAAATCCGTCTATCTGGAATGAAAATATTTCCGGCAGAGTTCTCTTCTTGGCCCATATTGCTGACGGCCAGAAGGCTTTCCTGGTTCCGGCTGGTCGGGTTTGCTCGAGGCATCATTCAGCTGGGCAGAATGAAAACCTTGTTGTAGCGGGGTCGATTGCCATATCGCGGCATACATAGAATACGCTCAACTGAGATAAAATCTGAAAAAGTATGATGGGACGTCGAGCGCAGGATGACGACTCATTCCTTGTCCAAAAAAGAAAAATCGGGAGAGAAGAAATGCTGGATGATGACGGAACGGATGACGGAGGCTCGGCTCGCCCAGCGTCTCGGCAAACGGCGCTAGACTCAACTTGGCTTGGCGCCGATTTATGCCTGAGTGGGGCGGTGCTTGGCGGATCTTGAGGCTCGTTTCAAACTTTCAGCCCCCTTGGAAAACAGCGCGGAGAGCGGTTTCATCCTCGGAGGGTTTCCTGCAGCGTATATATTATCCTCCATCCATTGACTCTGAGATCGTTTACACCCCCCTGCACTTTATATATGCATATCATTAATCTCCTCTCATGGGCCTTGACTCCCCTGTACATAAAACTGGAACTTCAGCAGGTTGACGCCTGACAAAAAAAAGGTGAGCGCTAAGGAGGCCACGACCATTATTCGCACAACCCTTGAACATTTCCTCCCAGAGCACATGAAACAGAATAACTAGCAGTTGGCATGATGTTGGTCTGCCGCCTGAAAATTTGAACTTTACTTTCATCTTGCCATGGTTCGCGTCAGATGTCGAGATCAAGAGGTAACAATATCTGCTGGAGAATGCGATCTGATCCATATCGGACATCCACATCGGCAAAACATGTGGAAGAAGCCAGAGAAACTCATCAAACTCCTCCACATTTAGACGTATTTAGCTTCCTGACGTGAACCTAAGGAAAATGCGGATGCTTTCATCTGATACTTCCCTGGTGTTGGGTTGTACTGTATTTTGGGTGGTGTGAATGTGTATTTTTGCAGTACATACATAGGTCACCCCGGACAGCCCCAGGGTTGTCTTGCGCCAACAGTGTCAGGGAAGATGTTCTCCTAGGATACGGAGTACATACGGTTCCAGTCTGTTGGACCGAACAGTATGGAGTGCCATCATCCCCATTCAAGCTTTAACCTTCTTGGGTTGCGAGAGATTAACAGATTTAATCTTGTTGGTTCTCCATTACGGAGCAATATGAACCAACCAACCAACGCAGCCTAGCCATCCACCACCCACGATGATCATGAAAAATAGGAGAACCGAACACAACGCTCAAATCTGGCCCTGACGGTTCCCATATCGACCCATGGCAGCCTTGCAAGATGGAGACCCATCCTCGTCGGAACAGTTGGGCGGGAGTTTTGTGCTTGGCGCTGGACTTGTTACTCGTCTGGCATGGGTTGTGGGATTTTGGCGCTCGCGGTGGGGGGGCTATGTTGAAGTATGGGCAGGGGCTGGGATGACCGGTGTTCCATCTGAGGCATATATTAGCCTTTTGACCGTTCAAAGCCGGCCGATGAAGGTCCTCCTGGGTTGGCCAGAGAGCCTGGCGGGCAGGTTGGGTCCAAGGACTTGGCGATGGGCCAAGCAAATGACGGTGGTGGGCGGGCGTTTCACCAGGCACCGGGCGCTCCTGGTTGGTGCAAACACCGGCAACTGACGTTTTGCCACGAGCCAAACAAGCCGTTGTCAACCCACGCAAGCACCACGATCGCGATTGCCCGTGGTTCGCAGAGGGCCTCTTCCACTCCCAAGGAAAGCAGCTGCCGAACAACCGGCAAGAGGCGATATGGAGGGGCTGCTTCCCGATTAGGGAGGATGGCGGGGCCAAAAAAAAAAAAAAAAAAAAAAAAAAAAAAAAAAAAAAAAAAACAAGAAAAGAAGAAACCGAAGCCGAGAGAGGAAAAGTGCGCACGCTGAGCGGAAGGAGCCGCTGTCGATGGAGCCCAGCAGGAAGGCGCGGCGCGAAAGTCACGCCTGCCATGGGCGGGAGGTGAGGAAACCTTCCCTAGGAAGGAGTGTCATTGGCTGCTTCCCCCTGGTCGCAGTCGCAAAAACCTCCTTTTGGGGAAAGTGTTTCAAACGACCTCCCTCTTCATCTGGCGGCATCTTCCTCCACCAACCTCACCTCTTCTTCTTTTTCTTCTTCTTCTTCTTCTCCCTCTTCGCCCTTTTGCCGCTGTCGCTGTCTCTCTTTTTGCTTTCTCTTCTCTAGTCCCTCTTTGACGGCCGTATCCTTCGTCTCGAAGCAGGCTTTGTCTCTCCTTTTCACTATCTCTTCGAGCTGCCTTGGTGGTTCTCACAGGGTTCCTCACCTTTGATCCATTCCTTTGAACTGCGCTCGCGCGCACAACCCACCCCTTTGCACATTCATCCTATCAACATATCACTTGCAGCAGGACTGGAACAGCTCTTCTCAAGCCGGACTTTGCTTTTGTCCTTTCTTTTCTGATCTGATCCCCGGTGTCAGTGTTGTGTTGAAGCACGCCCTGGCCCAGCAAACAGCCTTGCTGGTGGTGTTTGCCGTTTCTCCCTATCCTCGCCATCGCTATATCAAATTCACCCGCTGCTAGCACATAGATATCCTGATTTGACAAGGCACAAGCTGTTCACGTGCTCTCCTGTCCGGTCACCTAGGAGAGTCGCGTTGCTGCTCCTCTGCTGTCAGCTCAACCTCCTCCACCTTCTCTCACTTTGCTCGCCCTCTCTCACGCACTCTCTCCCTCCTTTCCTCTCCTACTTTTTTGTAGGCTAAAATCCAGCAATTCAACTGTGAATCCAGATTCCTTCAGCTTACTGTCTACAAGGTATGTTCAGCTTCACATCCTAGTAGGATGGCTGTTCTTACTTGTGCTCTCTGACGCGTTCACCCCAATTCTTTTCCCCCTGTTGAAATACTCAATACAGTCATGCCCAAAAGTGAGAGTTTCGCTCTGAACCTTTCCCTCACTTTTGGGCATGACCTTCGCTCCTATCTTGCCCCTTCAATCGACAGCTGATTTCGATCTCAAGTGAAATTTTTCGCTCCCAATTTTCTCAACCCATTCAATCTCTTCATACTTTGATCCACCCTATTCTCAGTATACTTAGCTATTTTTCAGCTTCGCTCTGAACTTTTGATTGTTTCGCTCCCATCCACATAGCAAAAGGTTTCAGCCCAAGTGATGTGCTGCTAACTGCCCAATATTCCTCTTTGAGCCTTTTCCTTCTCATCATATATATTTTTTCTCGACTGACCAGGGCTTCTATAATCATAGTGAATCTGAACTTTAGTCAACATGCAGCTTAACGCCCTGAATTTGGCTGCTGCGGCAGCTGCGCTGAGCTCTCTCGCGGTCCCTGCCACTGCATTCTGGCGTCTCCCTTGCCGTGGAGTTTCAGGTGTGGGAAGAATTGACCCTATTGTCGACCCAGGCATCCCTTCTCCTCATGTGCACTCTGTTCATGGTGGTAAAAGTAAGTGTTGACACCATCGATCTGTTTATTAGCAGCCAAGTTTAATATACACGTCCTGATTCGCGGCTAACTTTATCAGACTTTGCCATGACTGTTACTAGTGAAGAGTTGTTAGCTTCCGAGTGTACTTCGTGCGCCGTTGTTCAGGATAAATCGGCGTATTGGACTCCCAGCCTCTACTTCATCCACGCCAACGGAGAAGCTGAGCTGGTTAAGCAAGTGGGAGGCATGCTAGTGTAAGTTCCTATGTCGTCTCTTTGGCCCATCCTCCTCTAACTCTTTTCAGCTATTACCTACCCCGCGGTGAAAACGTGGAAGCATTCCCTCGAGGGTTTCGTATGGTAGCTGGCGATACGTACCAGCGCAATTTTACTCTCCCCGTTCCGGATCCTCCAAAGTCTACCTGGTCCAAGGATGATAAGACACAGTTTGCTCTCTCCCAAAAAGCACTCGGATTCAACTGCCTGAACTACAACGCGGACGCTGAGCCAGCTTTGATGCGGCATTCATTCCCAGAGAGAACTCTGCTCGATTCGCAATGTACCCACGGTGTTCGTATGGAACTTGTCTTCCCTTCCTGCTGGAACGGAAAAGACCTCGACTCTCCTGACCACAGGTCCCACGTCGCTTACCCCGATTTGGTTGACGGTGGTTCTTGTCCCGAGGGTCATGAACGTCGCCTCGTGACTCTTTTCTATGAGACTATCTGGGATACCTATGCATTCAAAGGCAAAGAAGGTGAATTTGTGGTTTCAAATGGTGATCCAACAGGGTATGGATATCATGGTGATTTCATTGAAGCATGGGACGGGGACGTGCTTGAACGTGCCATTAAGCAGTGCACAAATCCTTCTGGAAAGGTCGAAGACTGTCCTGTGTTCAAACTTCAGGAAGAACACGAACAAAAGAAATGCAAGTTTTCTCAGCCCGCAGCATTGGTCGATGAACTTGTTGAATTGAACCCAGAAGGACTGCCTGGTAAAGTCCCTGTCATGAGAGGACCAGAGTATGCTAAGCACCTAATGCCTCACCCTCCTGCATCCAAACCAAGTCCCCCCAAGGTTAAACTCCCTGTGCCTGAGACACCAGTCATGCCAACATCGAAGGCAACAATGGCTCCTCAGCCCTCCGAGACAGAACCTCCAGCTCCCCCCGTCGACAAACCAGCCCCTGAGATTCCATACACCACATCTTACTCAACACAAGGCACAACGGTCTATGAGATCGTCGTCATCAGAAAGACAGTCACAAAAACAGTTGAGCTTACTGCGCCAACACCACATGCAAAGCGACATGAGAGCAGCAATGTTAAGGGAAGACTTCGTCGTCATCGATATGCCCGGCGTCACTAGACCTATGGCCATCAATGATCGACAACTCTAGGGGGAGATTAGGCTGCTTTTCCATTCTTGATCTTATGCCCATTCAGGGTGTATTGTTTTCATGCTGCCTATCCTATCTGATACCCTTTAGTATCCAGATCATCTAAGCAGAAATGAGGCAATTGTGTTCATGTTTATTATTTCTGAGATCGCTTCCTTACGTGTATTTTAAAGGAATAAGGCATAAGGAGAAAAAAAAAATTATCTATTTATTTATTTATTTATTTTTTTTTTGGGGGGGGGGGGGGGGTTGGTTTTCTGCTTCTTTGATGTTTACGCCTTTCAAATAGTTTGCAAATGAGATGAGACATGAATTATGTAGGCGATGGCCCCATTCTCGAAGGAAATCCGCTCCTTGTATCGACCAGCCTTGAGACGAGATAGCGATTCTTACTTGCCATCTTTCTTTAGACGGGGAAAAATTTTCTCAAATTATCATATACACTTTCCACCATCGACAACCAAATCGGTGCCATTGATGAAGGCTGCCTCATCGGAGGCAAGATATAGACACATATTGGCCACATCGTTGGGATCGGTAAGTCGGCCCAAGGGTACATTGGAGATAAACTGTTGCCTGTTCTCAGGGGTATCCGGGACACCGACAAACATCTCAAAGAGACCTGTACCAGAAAGGAGAGGGCAAACATTGTTGACACGAATCTGATGTGAACCATACTCGGCAGCGAGGCCTTTGGTAGCCTATTGAAACAGTTATTATGACTACATATATTGGTCTTTTTTTTTTTTTTTTTAGTTGTTTGGGGGAGGGGAGGTTTCGTACGTTGGACACTGCTCCCTTTGAGGAGTTGTACCATACAAGTCCAGGTCTTGGTCTCTGTGCACCGGTGGAAGAGATATTGATGATCGATCCACCTTTACCCTGGTCGATCAACTTTGGGATGAAAGTCTGGGATGCGAGGAAGATGCTCTTCACATTGACGTCGAAGACGCGTTGGAATTCTTCGATGGTGACTTCTGCGGAGGGTTTGTTGCGGTACGTCGTGCCGGCGTTGTTGACGAGTATGTCAACATGGCCGTGGGCCTGGACGGTCTGGGAGATGACGGATTGCCAGTCGGCGAGGGACGTTACGTCCATTTTTTGGAAGGTGATGGAGGACGGGTACTGGGAGGAGACGGATTCGGCGCCTTGGATGTTGATGTCGCCGATTACAACTTTGGCGCCTTCCTGGGCGTAGCGGATTGCAATAGCGGCACCGAAGCCAGAGCCGCCGCCTGGAATGGTGGGAGGACCGTGGGTTAGCTCTCTTGCTCTGGCTCATGCGTTAGGGCTGGGGTTGGGTTGTTGGGCCTACCGGTGACGATGGCTACTTTGCCTGCGAGGCGAGATCCTGTGGTAGACATTGTGGCAAGGATTCTGCTGCTGCTGCTGCTGATGCTGCTGATGATGATGGTCTGAATGTAGGGGCACAAGCGTGTATGTGAATGTCCAAAGGCGAAAAGGAGGGGGATATTCGATATTTCAATCCAATCTTGGGAATTGCGGGGCTCCTATTTGACTTTGATGCCGATTAGAATCGCACTGTCTCTCCGCTCGAAAATACTTGCTGGACGTACCTGAGTGATACTTCAACGGTTCGGCAGCGGACGAGACAAGTCGTAGAGATAATTGACAAGGCAGTTCCGCTGCAAACCGAGGAAATTCTTCTTAATAAGGCCTCGTCCTGCTTGTCGGCCTGCAGAGCTCTTTTCCCCACTACCCCACGGCAACCGCCATGAAAACAGCAGGAGTCCATGCGGGGAAATTCGCCGATGTCGGGGGCAACCAAGTCCTCGGGAACAATCAGCCAACCAGCAAGCACAATTGCGTTAGATAAGCAGCAAGCCTGCCGTTAGAGTTCACCAGGGTGCCGAGTCTAACCCGATTAGGCCTTAGCTGTTGGGGAAGACAAATGCTGCCAGCCGGAATCAAGCCACACGATATCCGACGCTGTTCCGGCATCGATGTCTACGGAGCATATCTAAATAATAACAAGAGTACTTTTTTATGCCTAAATATCGAAAGTAGAACAAGCAGGACTTTTCACCTATTATTTCCCACCACTCGATTTATTTGGCAGCGATCGCGTTTCATGTATCGGTTGCACGGGCTCCGCCTGATCAACAAATTTCGTGATCCTCGCATTGGGAAACCATTTCTCCTCCGGAATAATCCAATATGATACGAGCGCGAAAATGGTTACACCGGACAATATTATAGGCGCATCTGCACGCACGAAGTCAATTAAAATGCACCTGCCCTGAGCATGAAGATGTTGGCATGGACTACTCACAGTTCAGATTCTCACCCGTAACAGGGAACTGGTACGGCGAAAACAAAACAGCGACCACCCACGCGTTCCAGAAAATACCGATAATCTGGAACGGCCTGCTCAGTCGTCCCAGGCTCCAGCGTGGCTTTGGGAATTTATTCGGCGTGAGAAAAACTCGTCCCAGGCAGATCAGGCCGTATGCGGCTGCTGATGGGACACCGGCAGCCGAGACAAGAGAGGTAAATGCCACGGTGGACGGGAGGATGGTGCAGGTTACCCCTGCAGCGACTCCCCAGACGACAAGAATGGCATTATGCGGTTGCCCATTTGCAGAAACTCGAGACACCCAGCCTGAGAACGGCAGCACCCCGTCCCGTGCAACCGCAAAGACAAGCCGGGATGCCGCGACGATGGCAATAGTTGTGTTCTTTGCATCCCAGTCAGAGACAGTAATAGCTAACTAATTGACAAGCGGATTGACGGGGGGTAGGGAGCGGGGGTGGTGGGCAACATACAAACCAATAAGCTATAACGCATATTACATTCATGACGATATGCGCCCTCTTGCCCAGTACCACTGCGTATAGTGGCACAAACGGCTGCGGTGACCCAAACGAGAACAGGGTCTCAGGATCGGGCTATGCTTGTTAGTCCGGGTGGGAAGGACTGATTTAGCCTCTCCAAGGGTATATACTTACAGCACAAAAGAGAAAGAGTACAATGGTTGCTCCTGCGCCCAAGCCACTTACAACGGTGCTCCAGAAGATGCCCCTGGCAGCCGTTAATGAGGCATTTTTCGTCTCTTCGGCGACGTGACCAGAAGCGTCGAAACCAATGAGAATACCGGCAGTAGCGAGAAATGAGAGACACCAATTCCAACCAGCCGGGGCACCAGTGCCGTTATACGTCTCTAAGAACGCTTCCTGAGCGGTGCGGAAACCCCATGTGTTATGAGCTCCAATAGGCAACCATACAACGTTTAAAACAAAGTCGAGCAGGACGAAAGATGAAGAGAGATAGAATATCCATCTAAAATATTTCGCTGTACTCCGTAGTTGTTACCGGGTTAGAATTGCATTCCCCAGCAATGAAAGGGAGAAGAAGAAAAAGAGAAAAAGAAAAAGAGACTTACGAGGAAGAAAATTGACAATCGCGGCTAACCCAAGTAGAACTTCCGTACAGATCCATTGCACGGCCCGAAACTTGACACTATCCACATTCTTGGGGAAATCGACTTCGAAGACCGTCAATTCCTGCGCGATCTCAATTAGCCTCGCTGATCTGGTGCGTTGTTATATTTATCCAGAAGCATATCATAATGACTTGGGATACATACGGACAGCATATAATTGACAGCCGATTGGGTGTTGCCTACATAGTTTCTAGGGGTTAGCGAACAGCAGACAAGAGTTATTGCACGTATCAACACAATGCAGGGGCAGACACAAGTCTTCACTAGATGTCTTACTCGCACAGAAGGTCGTCCATGCCGTCGTGCTCCACCATGCAACGACAAAACCCAGCAGGCGACCGTATCTTGGCCCACCAGCTTCAGCAGCCCAAAGATAAATGGATCCAGCCGACGGAAGGGCAGAGCATATCTCCGCAATGACTGCAGCTGTAATGAATGTGAATACAGCTGTGATTAGATAGTTTATCCTACGTGAAACTAGTTTAGCTCTTATTTTGAAGATGCGCAGAAATTAACTAACCAGTATGCTAGATTGCCACCTGCAGCTATTCCAGTGCTGAAGGTTACCCGTACACCGCCGACAAAGTAGAGAGCAGCTGTTTGTATAGAGCGGTTAGCCCAAATTACCGTTTCGAAGCATGGTTGTTGGGTAACAGTTATTTAGCTCCAGGAAGTGCGTCCTGACTCACAGAAAGTCGTCGAAAAGCTTTCTAGTAAGGTATATGTTCGATGGAGGACCTATATGGTGTGACAGTAATAATGTCAGAATGCAATGTTCCACTTTCGCAAAGTACAATAAATGGCATGCATATGCATAGCATACCGGTTTATAACCTAGTGATTCCTATAACTACAGGTTAGCGTTGGTCCACGACGGCGAATAGATGCATCAAAACGATACGGGGACATTTTGATCCTAATCAAAAAGTTCTTCGAGGCTTCAAGCATACCAGCAGAGCATCGTCGGTGCCAACTTCGCTCTGATCCGCCGCATCAACATCTGTTTCATGGACAGCTGCGGTGGAGATCCTTTCTCCATCGCGGGGTGTCATTGTGTTGTCCGAGAAGATGACTGAAACAGAGAACTTGGCCCATAAGATGTGAATATGAATTGTTTACAGATCTTCCGGGGATTATTGCTACTCTCTTGTCATCTTAGAAGAGCAAAAAGATATTGAACAATTTTCTCTACTTTTTTCCGTGAATTATGAGCCAGTCATTTTGGTTGGGGAAACGCCGGGCAGGGGGGGAGGGGGATTTTTTGGAAAGTTAAAAAGCACGATGTCAAAAAACGTTATCGCTTACGATCCGAAAGTCAAAATCGAGGGACAGTTAAAAACCAATTGCAGACCTTTTGATTGCTTGGCTGCTGGTGAAAATTTGCTTTCCGCATCGGATTCGCTCTTCCGTGCAGACTTTGGTGAGGCTTCTTATAGGGCCCCGCTGACAAGGATGCGCTCGTATCATGATGTCAACATCTCGGCGATTTAATGGATCGATGTGTTTGACTGCGTTTGGGGGTGAATCCTTTTGCTGAGTACCACGGTATCCGATGTATGAGCTCTCTGCTGGTCCACAAGCGCTCACACCAGAAGACTTTGATTCCTCACTGGCAATAGTTTGGCTTCCTGTCGACGCTTACCTAGGGTATGATAGCGGATCAAAGTAGGTCTCACATGAAAATGCTGAAGGCAACAAACCGGAAAGGCGAGAATATGGTTCCAATAAGACGGAAGTTAAGTCTGTTTCTTAGCCACAAAAAATGCATGTATTTCGTGTCGTTGAGGTAGGGGTAGTCCGTATAAGACGAGACACCGTGAAGAAATTGCAGACATTGGAATTATCAATTTCCAAGAGCAAAAGGAGGCCCAACAAGAAGCAGGGGAGATCTTTCGAAGTAGAGAAAATTCCGGGATAGCTTGAGCAGATAAATCAAGCATATATCAAAAATACATTCTGGAAAAAGAACGCCGTAAGAGAGCAAGGAAGACAAACCAGCATCCAAAGTAGCCACCCACCCAGGTTTCTGAAGATAAGGAAAGGGATGTTCACTAAAATGCATAATGAAATGGTGTCCACCATTAGGTCTCAAAGGGTGAAAAGGTGCCGACGGAAGCAGCGGCAGCCCAATAAATGCCGTAATTGTAATATAAGTCGAATGCGTAAAATATGGAACCTCCTATGAAGAAAGAGACAATGTTGCCAACATAAGATTGAAAGAGAAATGCGTAGGATAGTAGCGGAGGGGTTTCTAGTGGGTTATGTCATTTTCGTTTAATCATCGACCCAAGGCCGTTAAGTGCCTTGCTTCCCGCCTGGCTCATGTTTCCACCTTTGTCTTGGAACCATTTTACGCTTTTTGACGATGAGTGTCTGTGCTTGCTGGGAGAGGATCTCTTGGGCTTTTCATGGACTTCTTCCTTCCAGGTGCCAAAGCTTCTCTCTTCTCCGAGGGCTAACGTGTGAGTCCGCGATACGCCAGGGCTAATTTCGGAATTATGTCGACTTTCGCGGAATCTGCTGTCGGACCTTGGTCCCGGCGATAAAAGACTGCCTGAGGGCCGGCGTTGGGCAGAGGAATATTCGCGAGTGGGCGTTGGGACGTATCGCTGTGCTAAACTCATGAAAGAAGTGGTATCAAAGGGCGACAGGCTGAGTTTGCTTGAATTGCTTGCCACGCTCTTTATCGAATATGCCTTTTCACGGGAAGTTGAGCCTGGAGGAGGTGTCTGGCCACTGGTGGGGTACATCTGATTAGAAGGACTTGTGTGGGCGCCACTGTTGCTGTGTGGTGTTAAGGAGCGATCAGAAGGTGGGGTTAAGCTGTATACGAATCGTTTCTTTTGCTCTGCCATGACGGAGCTAGAAGGAAAGCTTGAAAATGGTGGTTGGGGAGATGGCGACTCGGTACTGAGAATATCTCCATGGGATGCCATTCGTTTTCTAAATCCACCAGATCGCGTAAGAGCTGGAGTGGGCTTTTCCTCTTTCCCCTGACTAAACGAAGCGTGGCTCTTCTGGCTTTGGCTGGAGTAGCGGGAAGATGTATTGCTCATTCTGTGGGAAAACCAGGAATCTCTCTCTGGGAAACGGGTTTCGGGTGATTGCTCAAACTCAGGGCCCGACTGCCTCCAGTTTCCTTCGGCGGCATCCCAGTTCGGCATAACAAAAGAAGGTGTTTCAAGGATGGATGAATTCGAGGTATTGGGTAACTGCATGAAGTAAGAGCCCCTCCGCTTCTCTTGTTTGCTGCTGCTCATGAGTCGAGCCAGTCGGTTTTTTACTTTCCCGGGTGTTCGGGAAGAATTCGAAGATGCTTGTCTTGCTGGAGCAAGATTGAGAGGGGCAGGTCGTTTCTTCTGTTGCTCAGGAACGGGAGGAGTGGTAGATGGTGAAGAAGCAGGGCCGACAGAGATGATGTTGGGCTTGGAATCTGGGACATGGTATACAACGGACGTTGCAATAAGGAAGTGAGTTTCGTGGCCCAACTCATCATCGGATGAGAGGATCTCGGAACATATTGATTGTCGGAGAGGACGTGCTTCCGCATCGAGAAGCATGGATGAAAAGAACCGCGTCTTGTGAGAAGGGGGAGAGTCGCGATATGGACCATAGGACCTTCTAACCTGCTTTTCGCTGTTTTCATGCTTGGGGGTTTTCGGTGCCATAAGCGTCAAGCAGCTGCCTCGTTTTCCATCGCGGACCGGAGACTTGGGCGTCTCGGGTCCTGGGGTGGGACTCGGCAACCGGAAGGCGAAGTCTCTGTTTGGAGAATTTGAGGGTGACCTGCGATCATGATCATAGTCGACGGCGCCGATATCACTATCGATAGGAGAGTAAACATGATCGTCAGTACTCGGGAGATCCGCTTCCGACATCTCTTCCTCGTCCGATTCGTATCTGCTTGGCATCTCATGTTTGGGGATGCCATGCACCTTCAGAGAAGTCATGATACCGTCCATCCTTTCGCCTTCCGCAAACGCAGTCATTGTGCCAGCAGCCATGGCCGCTGTGCAAAGCAAGCTCTTGTCTTGCGATTGTAGAATAGATGCAGTGGTCCAACGAGTCCTCTAGGGGGGGGCGACAGGCGATGAAGGGATGACAACCATGCCGGGTCCAGCACAGTCCTTAATTTCCGCTTTGTCTTAGTATAAGACTTTCATATAAACGATGGAGAACACAACGAGGCGAGGGGTAAACAGGTGCACGATGCTGAGGGCCGGGCTGACAGAGAGGACGTGGAATCAAAATTCACTGCCAACGAACTTCCGATGGAAAACCACATTGGTTTAAAGAAGGGCAGTCTCCGTCAAAGATTCTCCAAGGAGCAAAGAAAAGTCTCAAGCACATCCATAACTCACTAATTCGAAGGATGACAAGGGGCTTTGCTTCAAGCAATGTCAGGGATCCCAGACATTCCCGGAAACCAAGCCAGCACCAGCAGCGATCCTAGCCCCGCTGATTTCCGAGCTTATCTAGTCTTCGACATCTCGAATAATAAAATATATGAAATCAGTGTTGGGGGGGTGAAAGCAGATAGTCCGCTCTCCAGGGAAGAAATTCGCGACCGTGGGTGAAGAGATGTCTCCACGCAGGGAGAAAGAAGTCCAGGTCAGCCCCAACCACGCAGCAGGCGGGCTGTAAGTTTGTAACTGAAGGGTACCAAGGGGGCTCTGCTGCAGGCTCACGAATGACGTTCGCTTGGGCCCCTCCATCCGGACGGATTTTGTCTGCAGGTCAGCCTCTCACCCTGCCGGCGCAGTGGCAACAAAACCCTCTCGGATCGAATGGGGTGGACGGTCTCGGACTCGAAGGGCCCCAGCGCTGCCATTGGACCACGATCACCCGGCCGCCTCGATTTCGAGTTAGCCCAAGGAACGAACAAACGCCATGTGTGCCAGCGTTGCAGGGTGGGCTGAGTTTAGCACCCAGTTGCGCAGGAGGAGTCTCGAGTCGCACAAGAAGAGGGAGGAAAAAGCAATGCGCGCGATGGCCCGGCCGTGGAGCCAACAAGCGGCGTCTCTGCCGTCTTCCCTTTTTTCCCACTTTGCTCTTCTTCCCCGGACGGCCAAGTGATTGGCGGCCAGGTTCACTCGACTGATTAGCCCAAACAAGGTGCAAGTTCTGACCCAGCGCCAGCCAGGGAGTCTCGGATCAAAGCAGATCAAATTCTTCCCCCACACAAGCCAGATCCCGATCTGCTTCAACGTCCCGTCGAGTTATCATCCTCCCACCATCTCGAGATTCTTGCTGCCGACTGCGTCCCTGGCTCCGTGCCAGACCCTAGCATGTCAAGGTCCCGGATATATCCTACGCGCTTGATGCCTTCTGCAGTTCTAACCTTGGCTTACGGGCCAACGTGTCGCCAGTCCAGCCCTTCGCTCGGTACTTTTTCTTTTTTTTTTTTTTTTTTTTTTTAATTGGGGTTTTTCTGGACCTGGTTGGGTGCCTTGCAGAGTCCCATACATCGCGACCGCGATCCCCCCAAATACTGAAAGCTTACATGTGGTTGTTCGTGTACTTATATAGACGTCAGCAACTCGCTTCTCATGCACAAGACATTTTAAATTTCCTGGAAGTATTCCCCTTGGATCGCTCTGAACAGATACGAGTGTTGATGCTTTCTTCGCGTTTGGTGAATCTTTTGCCGGATGGTTACATTATTTGGCGCCCTTTGCACCAATGGCACATGCTCCCCTTTCCATTGAGCTTGGGAATAAAGAATGCCAAATCCACACTCGCCTGACACCCATCCGTTCAACTTTGATTTCCAAAACTCCATAATAAGCGAAATGATCAACCAGTGCCCGCTTCTGAGCCGAGATGGCAGAAGGGATCAACCTGGTAAACCCCCCAAACCGGCGCAGAAGAAAACGAGGATTGATGTCCAGTTGCTTTTGACCGTCAATTTTCTTTATCCATTTGAATTTGCCCTTTTTTTTTTTTTTTTTTAAATTTTTTCCTTCCAATTTCTCGCATCCCCGACAATTGATGTAACATCGAAGTTGGCGACTGTCTGAGCTTTGCCAAATGAAACACTTTTGTCCGCATGATGCCCATTTTCTGTGTACATACATATATGAATATGAGAGATGACATCCCGTTGGCAAATTCTTTTACTAGCTAGCGCCCAATGATGCACCTATACCGTCGTGTTAGAATATTCAGATAGCTTTTGATCCGTCCTGCAATAAATGTTCCACAGCCGTTCAGATCAGGGCAAGGAACCCGTGCCGCAGTTCGGTTCGTAGAGATTTCCACTATGCTATAACATAGTAGCCAGGAGGACAGGTTTTCAGTAACGGACAGATAGTGCATACCAACAAGTTAGCATCTACTCAGTAAACCATCCCCTGCAGCTTTGTGCTACACACACACACACAAAAACACAAAAACACACCCCCCGAAAGGTCCTCATCCTTCTTCTTAGATTGTCATTTGCAGCTCTGCACGTCCCGGACGATGCGCCGCGGTTCCGGCTCCGATGCAAGCTTTCCAATGGCACAGATCGACTCCGGTCGCTACAAGTACCAACACTTTTCTAAGAACATCAGCTTTTATCTTGACAGAATGTCTTCCACAGATGGGTGGAATTTTGTTCCAAACAATGAATCAACATGAAGCAGGAATCCATCCTCCGCAACAACAAGGACACTGCTCAGACTTGCAGTAGAACAGGACTCTTTGTTGGCACTCCTGCGACATGATATAACTGACATGCCAGCTCATCGTGCCCTTTAATCCTTCTTGCGGCATGGATGACGGGATCGAGGGCATGCGCAAGCCATTAAGTTCCTGGACAAAGACCGCTGCTACGTTTCGAAGTGCAGATTCTAGATACTGGTTTAATTTATGATTTCTTTTTCGATCCTGGCTCCTTGGAAATGGTGGGGCCGGGGGATATTTCTCGAGCTGCCCTCCACGAGGCATCAGACACACATCAAGACCTCTTTGCTCCGATCCCAACCGTCCTTTGATGCTATATCCTTTGTGGCAAGGGCACATGGGCTTGCAGATTTGATATGTTTGTCGGCGCCGATTGCGACGGAGTGGCATGAAACTAAAAGTGTCACCGGTTGCCGAAGGGAGAGATCTATAAATATTCATCCACGGTGTTATTAAAGGAAACAGCCGCACGACGCCCCTACGCACATAATTTTTCCAGCCTTTTCTGTTGTCTGCATGTCACTGGAAAATCTCTCGTTCTGTTGATCGAAGTGCGCGAGGAAAGTGAGGTGATTTCGTTGCATACCTATTTCCATATATCTGAGAATCCGTCCAAATCTTCGAATCAGACCTTGGAGGAGGTTCGGGAAAGCATGTGATATCGTGGTATTCACCTAGGAATTGCATTCGATGGCAAGAGATTTGACATCGTTAATTTGACGACGAAGATAGTGCCCAACGGTCGCGCTGCTCGTCGATTGCATCGCACCTGTCTTCTTCTTTCCCTTCGAATTTCGGGCTATACTACAGGGCCGGATACAAGGCCGCCTTTTTGTTTCAAGTTACCAAATATGGGGGTTGTAATCCGAGCATGGCCTGGGTTCTGCTGGGAGGCCCAAACACCTGCTCTTTGCGTGCACTCGCGAGATGGACTGTGGTACATAGATGACCGTGATAAGGAATCTGTCCCCGCCCCAGGCAGTAGCAAAGTTGGGAGATATATATTCTTCCTATACCTGGAGCATCGCTGGGTTGGGAGAAATATGTGATGTATGTAGTGTTTCCTCTGTTTTGGCCGCCGGCGGCTAGAGCGAGGGGTGGCATCTGAGCGGTGAAACCATCAATATAAGGAGACCGAATGCTTGATATGTAGATTTTATAATGTATGTACATCTAAACGATGAATTCTTGCCAATGATCCGACGCGTAGGATTCTCGTATGTGCGGCCACTGTTGAAATTCCCGGAATGCTTCGAGAATTCTGTATCTCAGATGCATCATTACGGCAAAATAGAATGTGGACCCGGCACATTAAGTACGGCATTCTATTATACATCTTAATTTTATATTATCCCAAGTCTTCTCTATTCAGAACGATCCAGACTCATGATGAAACGTGGCGGACAAGTGGCAAGAGGAGAAAAGAAGTTGAAGGGAAAATCACAGAGATAAAGTTAAAATTAAAATGCAAAGGAGGGGAAAAAAGGAAAATAAGAAATAAGAGAAAAGAATGAAGAAGGACTGTTTAGACAAGCTGATCAGAAGATTAAAGCAAAGAATAGTCTTAACATCAGAAAGGACAATCCCAGGCCAAAAAACAAAAAAAAAAAAAAAAAATACGTATTAAAAAGAATTATGTGATCAAGCTTATCCTGCCACTGTACAAGGGAGCCAACTTCCTTGGTAGAGAAAAAACAAAACCTGTGCTGCCACACCAATGGCAGAAGAGACATCCTGCTCGTCAAGTTCATAGACTTTCCTTTAAAAAAAAAAAAAAATAAGAACCAGATGAAAAAAAGATTCTGAGAGTGGTTAATGCTCTTCATTATCTTGCGCAGATCAGAATGAATGTTGCAGGAGCGTTGGAGGTGTGGAGGACCATTGGGAAAGCCCAAAAAGCATCTGAAAATATCCCTTTAGTAGATCTGTCTGCTTTTCACGTCATGGGGTGAAACCCGGAATGCTGTAACTGATTCAAAAAGAAAAAAGATTAAGCTTTTCGTGAGCGTGTGACTGGGCCATTGGCTCTAGCAGAGGAGACAGCTGTCCCATTTGTTGCGATGCTGCCATTGGCATTGCCGTTGCTAACACCATTGGTCTTCGGTTGCAGCCCAACCGGGGGGACCTCCAGGTTCTTCATCGCAATTGCTGCTTGCTTGCCGGTGTTTCGTCGTGGGCGCCCGCCTTTTCCAGTTTTCTTGTATGTAGCGAAGTAGAACGAGATAAAGAGAACGAGGTAAGAGCTGAGGATTATCAAGCCAGAGAAGGCGGCAAACTCTTCACCCGCACATTTGCCCGCATTGGGGAAATGGGGGAAGTAGGTCGAAGCAAAGTACGTGTAGGATGCAAAGTAGACAAACCCTGTAGATTCAGTTAGGCACCTGCATTCGCCGAGACTGAGGGCTGGGATATCAGTGCTTACCAAGATCAATAACAAACTGAGCAATCTGGAGGCGAGTAATCCATTGTTTCCACCAGACACGCACACCACGAGCACTCTGGAAATAGTACCAGTACATGACAACATGAACCATCAGGTTGAGTGTGATTGGGACCCATGAAACAGCGGTCAAACCAATTAGCTGAGTATAGCAAAGGAGAGCAGTGGCACCATGGTGATAGGTGTGGAGAAATGTGAGTGGCTTCTTCTTCAGGACAAGGAATACTGTGTCCACGAGCTCAATATATTTGGTGATATAATTCAACTGTTGAGGTTAGAGATATGTACTAATATGATCATAGGTGATTTCACAGGATGGAGATGTTGCATAGGGAAAAGCTAAGACATACGAAGTAAAGAATCACCAGCTGCTTTGTCCATCCTCCACGGTGATCGCAAATCGCATAAAAGACCCCATGTCTCCAGAGCGTGGGCAGAAGCTGTTCGATAAACAGCGCCAACAATATCCCACTAGCAAGTGTCAAATATAGATTGTGGATCATAAACAGCCCGTTCAACTTCATCGCTGGACGATTGCGCATCAACTCGCGGCCCCCGAAGATGATGACATAGTATGATATCAGGGCGGTTGCTGTCATTTTGAGAGTCGACATGGGCGTCTCGCCTTGAACGAACTTGAAGTCGGTGGCAGAGTACCCGGCCACGGCCGAGAAGGCCTTGTCGAAAATGGGCCATAACTCGACGCCGAACGGACGGTCGAGGGTAGGTCGAGGGAATTGCTGGAGGAGCTCGAGAGACATGGTAGGTGGGAGAAAGCTGGGAGACAGTGCAGTGGGGTGTCTATCCGAGGAGGATGCGGATCATAGGAGAGCAGGGTGATCTGCTTGTCGATTGCGGCTCGGAGGTCAGGCTGAGGAGACGCCAGACAAGAACAGAGAGAAAAAAATAAAAAAAGAAAAAAGAAAAAAAAAGGGAGTGGATGCAAGGAGATGAATGATCTATGCAGTTGATGATGAGACCGGATGGAAAGCTCACTTGACGGAAAGAAGAATGGCGGAAATTATTAAAAGAGCATTAGGCGGAAGAAGCTGGAGGGGGAGAAGAAGGGAAAAAAAATTTGACGGCTTGATGATGTCGAGGAGACTGAGATGGGATCCCCAACGGAGATGAACAGCTGAGTCGAGATGAGATGCTGACAGCCGTATTACCGGCCTGCGAAAGAAAAATTAATTTGCTTCTCCCGCACTCTGGACGGTGTGATTGGGCGAGCGCGCTGGGTTTGATCCGAAAAAAGGGGAGCAGGGCTTGGCATTATTACCGCGCGATACATGTTGATACAGTACAGGCCCGCGAGCATGTGAACGAGCGCGACGGGCACGAACGCCCTCCCGGCAGCAGGTATGTAGCTTAAACCAGTTACTGTAGCTCTGCATCGAGCAACTAGCCGAGAGGGTTTGGGCGTCCGTCGGGATGGTTTGATGCGCATCCACGGAAAGCTCGGAAACCCTACATGCTTGACTTCGCGACAACGTCGTTATTTGCTGGCAAGAGGACCGGCGGGCGGCGACAGCTTGGTAAGTCCCAAAGTTTCAATCCAAGGGTTGCACGCGCTTAATCTTGTCCTGCTGATGTCTTCATGATGTGCTGGTTTCTCACAAATTCTCCACGCTGCGAGCACCGCAGCCCAGACTCCCTACGCGGAGGCGAGAGTGCCACCACCACCACCGGGGACGGCCTTTTCCTTTACGGATATCCACTCTATTCCTTCGAGAGAAACTGTGGCGTAGGATGACTAGGAAGCCTGTAGAGGCCTACAGTGGAATGGACTGAACATGCCACCTCTGACCTCATCGATTGATTCGCCCAGATCCTACCCCGTATGTTCACTCCAAAGAGTCCGGCCTTCTTCCCATGTATGTATGTACTGTGCATACATTGAATGATTCTCATCTACTCCGTAGCATTGAAAGTTACATTTTGAACCGCCGGAATCTACATACTCCGTACGAGAACGCGAAACGCAATCATGGATAAGAGGGGGGGGGGGGGGAAGATTAAAAAAGAATCCCATTGTACACTCACAGGCACCGATACATAAGATATGATCTGCTTTGATATAACCACACCTTTATGGCTGGGTGCTTATTTGAGAGGGTCGTCGTTGACGATAAATAAGAGAGCCACACATATGCACACATAGCGCCGTTTGCGTCATCCGGATGCCATGAGCAATTGCAGTAAGCCGGATCAGCGGCTGCTTTCTCTGACAGTAACAAATGCCCTGAGTACTGGGAAGTCGGTAGCAAGCTGCGCGACGCAGCAGCTAAACAATCGCCCAAGCTAGTGTGGCTTTGGTTCTTGAGGATTCATGCCACAGAACGGCCATCCGGCACAGGGGACCAACCGTGCAAGAATTGTAGAAATGGGAAGTAAATTGTCCGTAAAAATATTGGAAATTGATTTGAGCAAATCAATTCGTTTATTCGTGTGCCAATGGTTTATGTTTTACAGTGCTGCAAGTTTTGCTTGAGGTTGGGCGTTATTATGATTCCAAGCTAAGACAGCAGACCACGGAGCACGCCTCCGAAATCTCCCACCACTCGCACCACCCAAAAATCTCGAACGTCACCGTAAGTCACTTCGCCGACCACTTCGCCGCCAACAAAATCAACAATTCCCCCAGTTTGGGAGCTTTGACGGTATCCATTTGATTTCTGTGACGAATCTTCGCTCTCCTCGCCACAAATGTCGCCCTCAACTCTCATCCGTATCGCTTCGCGCCGAACACCTGCGACCTTCTTCAAGGCTTCGTACTCTGCCCGCTCGAGACTTCCAGCTGCTGCTTCGGTCTCTGTCCCTGCAATTGTCACTCTCGGCGGCGCCAGCGGCTTCAGCACGACGGCGAAACGATGCAGTGGCGCTCACGAGGAGGAGACTTTCGAGGAATTCTCTGCCAGGTAGGGCAGTTTGTTGTTCTGCAAGTTTACCGACAACTCGGAAGATAATAAAAATAAACCCCGATTTGTGCCCTGTGTACGACGGCCGAGCATGGAACAAGTCTCAATGGCCTGAACAGATTGTGGAATGCGATAAGGCGGGGAGAATGTGGGCTGATGGATGTCATTGCAGATATGAGAAGGAATTCGACAGCGTCCAGGATGTCTTTGAGCTTCAGGTGAGCCCCATTGATTCACCCATCCCGCCCAGTTCAATTATTATGGTTACCTATGTGCTTCAGTTCGATTAACCGTTTCATCACTATTAATATAGCGAAACCTTAACAATGCCTTCGCCTACGATCTCGTCCCATCTGTCGGTGTCATGACCGCGGCTCTCAAGGCCGCCAGAAGAGTCAACGACTTCCCAACCGCCGTTAGAATCTTTGAGGGTCGGTTACATCCCTAACTATCCATGAACATCCGCTGCGCTATAATGCCAATATCGGTTCTAATCGCGTCACACATAGGCATCAAAGCTAAGGTCGAGAACAAGAGCCAATACGAGGCCTATCTCGAGGAGCTTAAGCCTCTCCGAGAGGAGCTCGGCGTCGTGCTCCAGGAGGAGATGTACCCAGCAGAGAAATAGAAGATTTCCATCCTGGCGGGCACACCTTTTACCCTTATCCCGAAACTGTAGCAGTAGAATTGGAAGGTGTTTTTATTTTGGGAAAATGGGAAGCCGTCCGACATTTGCACTGGTGACATCTCATGCATGATAAATTAGATAGATGGAAGGGGACAAAGGGCTTGGGTGAAGTCTCCATGTCTCTAATTCCCCTCAATCTTGCCCTTATTTCTTTCCTTGGTAACATGTAAAATCAGACAGAATTGAAGCAATGCTTGTTTGTATATTCAAATGATTTCTTTTGTAAATCTTGGACTGCCAGTAATCTTGATGAAAAGCTTGTTTGTCCTAATAAGTCCGAAGCCTGGTCATGGTAAATCTCAATATCAGTTCTACTCTGAAACATCAACAGCAACTATTCATAGAAAAGGCCTGCCCATCAAATCATAAGTCTGCTCAGAGAAATGCGCTGGGGCATGGGGTAATAGAAAACGCAGATTGACCATTAAAAAAAAGAAATAAAGATGTCATAGCAATCTTGATCTAAAACATATACACACAAATCTACCATACGCTCTGAATGGCTAAACCACAATCCGCAGCCGTCAACAGGACAAGGGATTTTTATCCACTCCCGTCGAAGAAAGGGGGTAAATCAAATCAACCCTCATCGAAGAAATACAGAATTACCATTAGACCTTACCGCCAAAGGTTTCACTGTCCGGAGCCATGCCCATTAACGCCGTGTCCTGGTATATACCTGTCGCTAAAACTTATCCGCGGAGCCCGAATTACTCCGCAAAAATGTGATATCTCCGGATTCTGATAGTGGGAATCGGAAAGTTTTCAAGAAGGTAAAAGGAAGAATATATTATGAGCCAGGGTAACCATGCCTGATGGGGAAGTGGAGACTCAGTTTGTCGCAATTATATCAGAGTCTTAAGTATGCGATGCAACTTATGAACTGCCGGTAGGTCCGTCGGATGGTATTGTTGGTCACCCTGTCCCAACATACTTGAACCAATTTGCCCGGCAATCCTCGAGTTGTAAGAACGGCTCCCCGGAATAGAATTTTGCAGGAGTGCAGCCCTTGCATTTCGGAGAATTTGGACAGTTAAAGTATGGAATATGATTGTAGCCAATGTCGCGGAACCTAGGCGCCAACTCTCGTTAGAATGTATCCTGTAGATGTGACAGCCTTTAGGCATCTTACCAGTGGATTTTATTTTTATCTTCGAACAAACCCAAGCCCACGGAGTGTACGGGCGCATCACCCCATCGTTCGTAGAAAAACCCGCCGGCACGATCCAGATGATTGAAATAATCTTCATATGCTTTGCCTCTGAAGAACGACAAATCTCCAATCTCGAAATTAGACCAAAAATGGCAAGTAGAATACCCATTTGCCTTCTGATTATGTGTAGGTCTCTGCTTGTTGTCCACCAGCCAGTCCATTGCGTTGTTCGGATGAACGTATTCGGAATGCGACGCGAGGAACTTAACAGTTTCCGGCCATAAATTCTCAATGCTTTCCGGAGCATCGTAAAGATTTATTGTGAAACCGTACGTTTTGTTGTTGTCCTGCATATATCGGAAGACATCGTAATCGACATCGCAGAAGAAGTGTACATTAGGTTCGACGCGCCAGTAGTACTGCATGTTGGCCAAAGCCGGGTGTTTGTAGAACATGCCACTATTCCACCGACACATTTGGTTGTACGAAAGCTTGCCGCTGTATTGAACTCCCTTTTCCTTCAGCATATCCACGGATTCCTTGTATAGGTCCATATCTATCCAATTGGGAACGTCCCAATGCTCTTTTGGAACAATCTCTGTGAGATACATCAGCAACGATCCCCACGGAAATATTTATAGATGCGAGATCATACCATAGTTGCATTTTGCCTTCGTTTCCGCCTGGGTCCGCTTTTTGAATTCGTCTGAAAACGGTTGGTCATTGAAAAAAGTCCAAGGATAGTTAAATTTGCTATTCCATGTGCTCTCCAGCTCTTTCATTGTCATGATCAATTGGTCCAGCTCCTCGTTACGGACAAGTGAGAGGAGGGTCGCATTAAGACGGGAGGAGTTAGGGTTATTAGGAGCGTACGAATCGCCTTCCGCTCTCCATAGGTGGCCCTCTGGCTCTCCGGTAGCTGTAGAATAGGTTAGGACCAGGAATCCGGTAGATAACTCAATGCTGTCCTCGCAACTTACGATCAGCCAGTGGATCATGCATCAGCCCATTATCGTAAGGATCCACGAGTTTGATGATGGGGTTGGTCGATCTGGAGAGCTGAAAAATAAAGAATAGGCAGAGCAGTATACCGCCCGCCAGAAGTAACCGAAGAGGCCTTGCAACAGCCATGATGGCATTCCAACCCAACCCTTCTTCGCAAAGGGCGTGCTCTAGCAATATTTCTCTCTTCAGGTTCGTTAACAGCGCGGCTTGAAGTAACACAGCTTATGTAACGGGCGATTTGCCTCGATCAGGGGCAAGCGCTGGCTGACATAAGCAGGAGCACCACGAGATGCCAGGACTGTGAACGCGCGAGTCGCGGTATCAGGGATCTCAAGGCTCAAAGCCCCTTGATCTGTAGGACTGGCTGCCGAATGCTCTGAGATACGTTTGATATGGCCGCTGCTCTGCGCATCGGCACTCTCACAGATGAACTCATCGCAATCATCGCAAATATCCAGGATAAGGTATGTCAGTCCCAGGATAATGGGCAGAGAGACAGAACTGATGATCTGTAGAGTTCACCACGATTTAAACACCTGAAGACTGTGGCTCAAAACATCGTCAAACGAAATGCAGCCGGCAGGGTTGACCAGTTTGAAGTTTCACGAAGGCTTGATGGTCTCCAAGAAAAATTCCAGATTGTGGGCAATGCCGGTTTAGCCGATGCGGTCCGCCTCCGATTGTCAGAGCTAGATGCAAGGAAATGCCATTGGGCCCCAGAAGTTCTTTTCCTGCTCTTAGAACTTTCTGACAAGCCTGCTTCTAAGTCGGGCCCGGACAGAGTCGAGTTATTCAAGCCACCTGATCCGCCCCCCATTCTGGTCTGGTCTGATCTCGGTACTTCCGACCTCGATAAAGAGGACATATGGGACGACATTGATTATGCGAACGATTCATCTGATGACAATCTTTCACTGGCATCAAGCGACATATCCATCCCGCGAATCATCCCGCAAAGTTCAAAGGTTCCCCTGGACGAATATATCCCCCCTGAAGACATATATTTGACCGTAGAGGATGATGGGCTAGTGTCATCCATACAAAACACCCAAGCTTGGAGATATCTACCGAGTTCCCTCCCGGAAAGTTCTAACGGCATTTTGACTGACCTACAAGTCATGCGGGAAGTAATATTTATGCTGGAAGGCCTACCAAACTCTTTGTTCCGGAATCTGAATGATAGTATTGAAATAGACGACCGCTTCTTTGTACAGCATGCCTCTAGAGAGGCATTCAGGTCAATACTTAGGTCATTTAGTGACCTGGGAGTTTGCATTCAACGACTCAGGGCCTTCGGGAAACAGCCGCAGGAAGTACCCTTCATGCAAATGTTCCAAAAGGAAGTGGATAAGTTGGTTTACGATCTTGACAGTTTTCTCTCGGAGACGGAAGCCCGCTATTCAGTTAAGCCCCAATTACCATGTGCTAGCCTTCTTGAACTGTTCGACGATGTTCGAAAAGAGACTAAACTCCTTGTCGAGCTAGCCAGTCTCGTAAAAAGGCTGAAAGAGACCACGGGACAGAGCGGTTTTCTTTGCCTGGACTTGCTCTATGACTTGGTTTGCGCAAAACAGGCTGCCGCAGACGATGCAGAATATAAAGTTATGGCTAAAATCTTTTTCAAGTGCTTCGAGATCTATGCAAAACCTATCCAGCTTTGGATGAAAACAGGCATGTTAGATGAATCTCTCGGGTCTTTTTTCATTAAAAACTCGGGTCGACCTACTCATTTGAAATCTCTCTGGCATGAATGGTTTTTCTTAGAAGAGTTCTCGGGGCAATTGTATGGCCCAAAGTTTCTTCGTCCAGCAGCGGACAAAATCTTTACTACTGGGAAAAGCATGATATTTCTTCGCAATCTTGGAGTCGCTCCGGAAACTCTGAACTTAGAAACGCCCACGATTGATAAAAAAGACATTTTTCCGGTTGAAATTCCGTCAGCTTTTGTACCTTTTTCCGGGTTTTTACAAGGTGCCTTTGGGCGATTGGTGAATGAAAATCATAGCGTCGCTTCAGCTGTCTTGAGAGCGGAGCTCAACGAGAAATGTGGGCTTTGGCTTTCAATGCAGGCTTTGGATTATATATACATGGCCAAAGACACGGCACTCTTAATGGCGGTTGATCAAAGAATATTTGAGTTGATTGATAAGGGGAGGCAATCATGGAATGATCGATTCCTGCTGACTGAGAGTTTTCAGCAAGCCTTGGGGAATCTGTCCTGTATTGACGTTAGCCGTCTCATCGCACGGACCATTAAGGTCGCCCCTCGAGAATTCGAAAAGCATTGCCGCTCGGTCAAGTTATTGAAGGCGCTCTCTGTGGATTATGTTCTTCCGTGGCCTGTTGCCAACGTAATCTCAAAGCAATCAATGAACGTGTACCAACGCCTCTCAACATTTCTAATGCAGATTCGCCGAGCGAAATACGTCCTTGAAAAGCAGTGCTCCAATAAACCAAGATATCTTCGGCATGATACTTACACTGAAGATGACATTCTCTCATTCGCCATCCGACACTATCTACTCTGGTTTGTCAACATCTTGTACTACCATTTTACCGAGCTCGTTATCTCGTCATCGAGATCAGAAATGGTAAAATCGATGGCCGAAGCCAAAGATGTCGATGGCATGATTTCTGTTCATCAATCATTCATCTCGTCAATGGAGGAACAGTGCCTCCTCTCAAAGACTTTAGCACCGATTTACCAAGCCGTCATTTCAATCCTTGACTTATGTCTTCAGTTCTCCGACATACAAGTTGGACGATATGCTGAATATCAGTACGACCAAGCAAATCAGTCAACTACGTATCTCCATTTGAATTCGAGCCGATATCGTCGTGGACGCCGTTCGGCTTCCGAAGAAGATGATGAAGAGCTAAGTTCAGATGAAGATGAAGGAGACTACATTAATCAGACTATGTTCGGTGATGGGAGCAGTACATGCATGTCCTTTGCCGAATTGTCGTACAGGGAACGACTGCTCGGTGTCAAACAAAAATCTGACGAACTCAGCAGGTTCGTTAAAACTGGATTAAGAGGCATCGGACGGGTCGACGGTCGAAATAGCTGGGCCATGCTGGCCGATCGGCTGGAACCGAAGAGCCACACATTCATGTAAAAACTAGGCCATATTATTAAACGGTTTCATCTCATTCAATCGCCTGTCCGTTGGGTTAGAGTGTTGACTAGCCGAACTGAGCGTGGCATCTGCTATAGGCTTTCCTACACCCTGATGCGCAAAGATAACGACTTACGGCGCACAAGTATAGTAACCTCGCGTATTTTATGAAAATGGAATAAATATTGCGCATATGCTATTTAGCATCAAGCCATCCCTAACTTTTGTGCAACCTTTGAGATTGCCCACACCTGCCCCTATATGCAACCAAAACTCTTTATTTTCTGACTTTAGCCTCCAATAGGTCCATTCAAAAAAATATTGAAAATATGAAAATAAGATGGCAGACGAGGCACATTAGACCAAAATAAAACATGTTCACCAAAAGTCAACAGGTCTTAACCCACCCATCTTCTCGCGCTGTAGAAAATTCTTCCCCATGGGCCAATATCTCCCCATTCCGCGGACATAGCATTGTCTCCAGGGAACCAACTTCCCACACCATTCATAATGGTTCTTTCTGGATGAGGCATCAAAGCAAGGACCCTACCATCCATACTCCTCACACCAGCAATACCCTCAGGGCTTCCGTTTGGATTGAACGGGTACCTCATTGTTGGTTTCAAGGTAGTGTTATCGACATATCGGATGGGCGCGAGGTTATGCTTGACAATGTCCTCTGCGGCCACCCCAGGTGTATTTGCGAACGAAGCGCGTCCCTCTCCATGAGCAACGGCGATCGGGAGGGAGGTTCCGTTCATTCCATGTAAGAAGACGCTTGGCGACGATTGATCTGAGTCGAAAATGCGCACCATACACACCCGGCCTTCATATTGTTCACTTTCATTGCGCTCGAAGCTAGGCCAGTCTCTGGCGCCTGGGATCAGGTCCTTAAGGCGGCTGAGGAATTGACATCCATTACAAACCCCAAGGGTGAACGTATCAGGTCGCTCGAAGAATGATTTGAATTCTCGCCTTGTGTCATTATGAAGGAGAACTGACTTAGCCCATCCTTGGCCGGCACCGAGGACGTCACCGTAGGAAAATCCACCGCAGGCTGCAATGCCGACGAAGGAGGAAAGAGAAACCTTTCCGGAGATGATGTCAGTCATGTGCACATCGACAGCAGAAAATCCAGCAATGTTGAAGGCAAAGGCCATTTCGGCTTGGCTGTTCACTCCTTGTTCGCGAAGAATAGCAACCTTAGGCTTAGCTGCAAATGGTGAGAATCTAGCACTAAGACTGCTTAGAAGCGGCATTGCAGGGTCTTTTGGATCGAATGTTAGATTGTACGATAAACCGGCATTATTGTCGTCAAGGATGTTCTCGTATTCCTGTTCGGCCGCGGCAGGATTATCGCGAAGTTTCTGCATTTGGTACGAGGTATTGGACCATGTCTGCTGTAGGTTTGCGCGAGAATTGCGGTAGATTAGGGTGGCTCCATAGTAAATGGCCATGTTCTGCTTAGACTTTTCTGCGACACGTCCGATCCTGAAGAGTAGTCCAGGTGGAGGACCGCAAGTCGCAAAGCAGCTGCGGAAGACACCCTCGTCCTTCTTTCGGACTTGGAATACGGCACCCAATTCCTCGTTAAATAATGTCTCCATAACATCTTTAACGTTGGGGCTGGAACAGATGTCATCAAGCATAATTTGGACTCCGCATCTACCGGCAAACATCATCTCCGCCAGTGTCGTAAACAAGCCGCCATCTGAACGATCATGGTACGCCAGAACAACACCAGCTTCCTGGAGCTGCTGAGTAGCGTCAAAGAAATCCTTGAAAAGTTGCACGTCGTGGACATCCGGGCTTTCATTGCCTACTTGATTGAAGACTTGAGCTAGCGCTGAGCCTCCGAGACATTTGCGCCCAGAAAGGTCAACGAACATGAGCACAGTTTCTCCCACCTCTTCAAAACTTCGTAGGGCCGGTGTCCATGTCTTACGAATATCAGATACGGGTGCGAATGCTGAGATAACCAGCGACAGAGGAGCAGTTACTTCTTTAGCTTCGCCGGTGCTCTGATCGTTCCACTTCATCTTCATGGACATTGAATCCTTTCCAACGGGAATGCTGATAC